GAAGCTACCCTGATTTCCCTGAAACCATATAATATAATATAACATGGTATAAAACCATATAATATCATATAACATGGAATAAAACCATATAATAGCATATACCATGGGGTAAAACCATGTAAGATCATATAACATGGGATAACACCATATAATATCACATAACAGAATCCCTTATGTAAGTACATACTCACCATTCTCTTCTCAAATCCAGGACATTGTATGTAAAAACTGGCATATTTTACAGCTAGATAAACAGATCTGCCATCTTTTCAAAGATCCCCCTATATTTGCACATAGGAGGGGCCGTACAATGCGTAACACTGTAGTAAAATTGGACAGCTTTATTCCTAGTAAACAGACTTTTTTGTCCAAACCCATTTTTGGTACCTATCGCTGCCTTTCCTGCAATCATTGCAGTGGCATTATCAAGGGGGAATGCTGCACACCCCCGAGCACATGTAAACAAAAAAACCTCAGAGGTTTCTTCACCTGTCAGACTGATTTCATTGTTTATTTTCTTAAATGCCCATGTGGTTTAGGTTATGTGGGCAAATCCATAAATGCATTAAAAGACCGCATCTCACAACACAAAACCACTATCTGTAGTCCTAAAGCAGACACCCCTGTAACTCGACACTTCAGGGAAATGAGACACAATGTGTCTCAACTCAGGTACCAGGTCCTTGAAAGGGTACCCCCCCTAGTGAAAGGAGGCAATAGGGAAAAGATTCTTCTTCAAAAGGAAGCATGTTGGACATACCTACTGGATACAGTGGCCCCCATTGGTCTCAATGAGAAGCTTGAATGGCACTGGTTCCTGTAGGTGTGTTACTTTTTGCACCCACTGGAGAGCGAGTCTTGTAAGTGTATTCACCCTCTAATGTTTACCTTAAGTTTCTCCCTATGGCTTACTTAGCTATTTTTTGCAGAGCATTCCTCTCTGTTACAGTGCTCCTGTCGCTTTAATGTCCTGTGTTAACATCAGTCTTTTTTCTTTCTACCAGTTGAGCTCCATCTATTCCCCACTACTTTGTGGGGGTTCTTTGTTGAGACCCTACTTATTTCCACTCTGGGTAGGGCTAGACTCTCTATTTACTTTTTGCCTATATTTTCTGTATATTGTGATTACTGCTTTTGTGCACTGTGTATTTGGATTCCTTCTGATGCCTAGTTATGATTCTTTTTCTTTCCCAGTATTTTACTTTATATTATATGATGTACTTGAATATATTTTGAGCTACCTTCTGATTGCATTATAATGGGGCTTACACCAATTTAATGTTTATATGACTTTTTAAGGTTTTCTGTTTGCCCCTATTGAGGAATCTTTATCTGTTCTCGATTGCTTTGCCCAGGAAGTCAGGAGATCAGTGTAGACTAGAGCCTTTTCCTTACTTTTGTTTATTGTTGCTTAGCAACGTGATGCCCGTGGCATGCTGAGAAACATGGCAAGATGGTGACCGAATCCCAGGAGGACTCCAATCATTCACTAATCACAGAGGGGGGTGGCTTTGGACTTAATTACTGTTTTTTTTCTTGTATATAAGTGTTTGTGTGTTGTAAGGTGGGAGGGACATGGTGCATTGAGAAAGGGAACACCCGAAACGTTTGTGATATTCTGTCCTTCAAATAAATACCAGTAGCACCTTGGTGTGCATAAAGCAACTTTTTGCACAGCCTCTTGTTTGTTCTATCTACCCTGTAATATAATATAACATGGGGTAAACCCATATATTATCATATAACATGGAATAAAACCATATAATATAATAAAACATGGGGTAAACCCATATATTATCAAATAACATAGAATAAAACCATATAATATCATATAACATAGAATAAAATCATATAATATCATAACATGGAATAAAACCATATAATATCATATAACATGGAATAAAACCATATAATATCGTATAACATTGGGTAAAACCATATAATATCATATAACATGGAATAAAACCATATAATATCGTATAACATTGGGTAAAACCATATAATATCATATAACATGGAATAATACCATATAATATAATATAACATGGGGTAAAACCATATATTATCATATAACATGGAATAATACCATATAATATAATATAACATGGGGTAAAACCACATAATATCGTATAACATGGAATAAAACCATATAATATCATATAACATGGGGTAAACCCATATAATATCGTATAACATGGGATAACACCATATAATACCATAAAACATGGAATAAACCCATATAATATCATATCACACGGAATAAACCATATAATAACATATAACACAGAATAAAAACATATAATATCGTATAACATGGGGTAAAACCATATAATATCGTATAACATTGGGTAAAACCACATAATATCATATAACATGGAATATTACCATATAATATCATATAACATGGAATAAACCCATATAACATCATATAACATGGAATAAACCATATAATATCATATAACACAGAATAAAAACATATAATATTGTATAACATGGGGTAAAACCATATAATGTCATATAACATGGAATAAAACCATATATTATCATATAACATGGAATAAAACCATTTAGTATTATATAACATGGGATAAAACCATATAATATAACATGAAATAAAACCATATAATATCATAACATAGAATAAAACCATATAATATCGTATAACATGGGGTAAAACCATATAATATCGTATAACACGGAATAAAACCGTATAATATCATATAACATAGAATAAAACCATATAATATCATATAACATGGAATAAAACCATATAATATCATATAACATAGAATAAACCATATAATATCATATAACACAGAATAAAAACATATAATATCGTATAACATGGGGTAAAACCATATAATGTCATATAACATGGAATAAAACCATATATTATCATATAACATGGAATAAAACCATTTAGTATTATATAACATGGGATAAAACCATATAATATAACATGAAATAAAACCATATAATATCATAACATAGAATAAAACCATATAATATCGTATAACATGGGGTAAAACCATATAATATCGTATAACACGGAATAAAACCGTATAATATCATATAACATAGAATAAAACCATATAATATCATATAACATGGAATAAAACCATATAATATCATATAACATAGAATAAAACCACATAATATCGTATAACATGGAATAAAACCATATAATATCATATAACATGGAATAAAACCATATAATATCGTATAACATGGGGTAAAATCATAAAATATCATGTAACATGGAATAATACCATATAATATCATATAACATGGGGTAAAACCATATAATATAATATGGAATAAAACCATATAATATCATATAACATGGAATAAAGCCATATAATATAATATAACATGGAATAAAACCATATAATATCATATAACATGGAATAAAACCATATAATATAATATAATATGGGGTAAAACCATATAACATCATATAACATGGAATAAAACCATATAAAATAATATAACATGGAATAAAACCATATAATATCAAATTACATGGGATAAGACCATATAATATTATAGAAGGGATGTAAAGCCCATATAATATTATACACGGGATATAAAGCCCATATAATATTATACATATTATACACGGGAAATAAATTCCATATAATATTATAGAAGGGATCTAAAGCCCATATAATATTATACACGGGATATAGAGCCCATATAATATTATAGAAGGGATAAAAAGCTCATATAATATTACACACGGGATATAAAACCCATATAATATTATAGAAGGGATATAAAGCCCACATAATATTATAGAAGGGATATAAAGCCAATATAATATTATAGAAGGAATATAAAGCCCATATAATATTATACACAGGATATAAAGCCCATATAATATTATACATGGGATATAGAGCCCATATAATATTATAGAAGGGATATAAAGCCCACATAATATTATAGAAGAGATATAAAGCCCATATAATATTATACATAAAGCCCATATAATATTATAAAAGGGATATAAAGCCCATATAATATTATACATGGGATATAAAGCCCATATAATATTATACACAGGATATAAAGCCCATATAATATTATAGAAGGGATATAAAGCCCATATAATATTATAGAAGGGATATAAAGCCCATATAATATTATAGCAGGGATATAGAGCCCATATAATATTATAGAAGGGATATAAAGCCCATATATTATAGAAGGGATAAAAAGCCCATATAATATTATAGAAGGGATATAAAGCCCATATAATATTATAGCAGGGATATAGAGCCCATATAATATTATAGAAGGGATATAAAGCCCATATATTATAGAAGGGATAAAAAGCCCATATAATATTATAGAAGGGATATAAAGCCCATATAATATTATAGCAGGGATATAGAGCCCATATAATATTATAGAAGGGATATAAAGCCCATATATTATAGAAGGGATAAAAAGCCCATATAATATTATAGAAGGGATATAAAAATATTATAGAAGGGATGAGAGCCCATATAATATTATAGAAGGATATAGAGCCCATATAATATTATAGAAGGGATATAGATTCATATATTATATAGCCCATATAATATTATAGAAGGGTATAGATTCATATAATATTATAGAAGGATAGGATATAGTCTTATATAATATTATAGAAGGTATAGAGCCCATATAATATTATAGAAAGAAGGATATACCCATATAATATTATAGAAGGGATATAGAGCCCATATAATATTATAGAAGGGGTATAGAGCCCATATAATATTATAGAAGGGATATAAAATATTATTATAGAAGGGTATAGAGCCCATATAATATTATAGAAATAAGAGAGCCCATATATTATAGAAGGACATGAGATCATAATAAAGTATAGAAGGGGTATGAGCCCATATAATATTAAATGATATTTGGTAATATTAACATCTGCCCGCCCACGCCGCCATTTTGTCGAAGTTCGCCTCGCGCCAGTCCAGGGCAGCCTACAGCGCAGCCTGGGAAACCCCGGATATCGGCAGCTAATGGCGGACACCGAACGTGTGGAGGAGAGTCTGGAGCGGGCGGAGGCCGAGGTATGGACACTGGATGGGGTCGGTGATGAGATGGGGGGTCGGTGGGGGGGTCGGTGAGTGAGAGGTCGGTGGGGGTCGGTGAGTGAGAGGTCGGTGGCGGTAAGGGGTCGAGTGAGAGGTCGGTGGCGGGGGTGAGGAGAGGTCGGTGAGTGGAGAGGTCGGTGGCGGGGGTGAGTGAGGAGTGAGAGGTCGGTGGCGAGAGGTCGGTGGCGGGGTGGAGTGAGAGGTCGGTGGCGGAGGGGGAGTGAGAGGTCGGTGGGGGGACTGAGAGGTCGGTGGTGGGGGGTGATGAGAGGTCGGTGGTGGGGGGGTGACGGTGAGTGAGAGGTCTGGTGGGGGGTGGACGGTGAGTGAGAGGTGATCTGTGAGCGAGAGGCCGGTGAGTGAGAGGTCGGTGGTGGGGGTGATCGGAGGAGAGGTCGGTGGTGGGTGACGGTGAGTGAGAGGTCGGTGGGGGAAGTGGACGGTGGGGGTGAGTGAGTGAGTGAGAGGCCGGTGGTGGACGGTGGGGGGAGGAGTGAGGCAGGGGTGGTGAAGGGGGGGGGGGTGACGGTGAGTGAGAGGTCGGTGGTGGGGGGTGACGGTGAGTGAGAGGTCGGGGTGGTCAGTGAGTGAGAGGTGTGGTGGTGGGGGTGACGGGTGAGAGAGGTCGTGGTGGGGGGTGATCGTGAGTGAGAGGGGTGGTGGAGTGAGGTCGGTGGTGGGGGGTGACGGTGAGTGAGAGGTCGGTGGTGGGGTGACGGTGAGTGAGAGGTCGGTGGTGGGGGGGGTGGTGAGTGAGAGGTCGCGACGGTGAGAGAGGTCGGTGAGTGGGGGGGTGATCGGTGAGAGAGAGGTCAGTGGTGATGGGGGTGACGGGAGAGAGGTAGGTCGGTGATGGGGTGACGTGAGAGAGAGGTCTGTGATGGGGTGACGGTGAGAGAGGTCGGTGATGCGGGGGGTGACGGTGAGAGAGAGGTCGCGACGTGAGAGAGGTGACGGTGATGGGGGTGACGGTGAGAGAGAGGTCGGTGATGGGGTGACGTGAGAGAGAGGTCGGTGATGGGGGGTGACGGTGAGAGAGACGGTGATGGGGTGACGGAGAGAGAGGTCGGTGATGGGGGTGACGGTGAGAGAGAGAGGTCGGTGATGGGGTGACGGTGAGAGAGAGGTCGGTGATGGGGGTGACGGTGAGAGAGAGGTCGGTGATGGGGGACGGTGAGAGAGAGGTCGGTGGTGGGGGTGACGGTGAGTGAGAGAGGTCGGTGAGAGAGATGGGTGACGTGAGAGAGGTCGGTGGTGGGGTGGAGAGAGAGAGGTGAGAGAGGTGATGGGGGGTGACGGTGAGAGAGAGGTCGGTGATGGGGGGGTGACGGTGAGAGAGAGGTCGGTGATGGGGGGGTGACGGTGAGAGAGAGGTGCGGGACACACACTCGCTTGAGGGGCTCCTCTTTGTCTATATATCTTCATGTCTCCACTTATCGTACAGTGCTGGGTACACGGTGCCTGTTTGGGGTCTGGGTATGGAGTACAGTGCTGGGCACACGGTGCCTGTTTGGGGTCTGGGTATGGAGTACAGTGCTGGGCACACGGTGCCTGTTTGGGGTCTGGGTATGGAGTACAGTGCTGGGTACACGGTGCCTGTTTGGGGTCTGGGTATAGAGTACAGTGCTGGGTACACGGTGCCTGTTTGGGGTCTGGGTATGGAGTACAGTGCTTTGTACACGGTGCCTGTTTGGGGTCTGGGTATGGAGTACAGTGCTGGGTACATAGTGCCTCACATTGTTTCTAATGTAACAGTTTTTCTTGCTAAAAAAAAGGCCCTGTGCATTGTAGGTAATGGTTGATAAGGATGGCCTTCTGACGTGATGCAGTGACTGAGCCTTGTGTATTTGACCGGTCAGCAGTTTACAAAGGAGGGTTTGAGCCTATGTTTACATAGCTGTCAGAGTGCTGTCTGCATTAAATAAATATTCTAAGCACCATATCCACTAAGTGCTTTGTAATGATGGGGGGGGGGGGTTGTAAATTGTCAAATTTTATTAGACTAGTTTGACTTGTTACTTGGGGTCTAATGGGCGTTTCTTTGCTCTGTCAGATCAGCTCATGGAGATGCAGGGCATCATTTAGTTGCTGGCACACTCTGCCATTAAATTTGCTTTTCACTGCATGAGCTAGTAGACATTCTTAAAGGACCACTCTAGGCACCCAGACCACTTCAGCTTAATGACGTGGTCTGGTTGTCAGGTCCCTCTAGGATTAACCCTTTTTTTTTTTTTTTTATAAACATAGCAGTTTCAGAGAAACTGCTGTGTTTATAATAGGGTTAATCCATCCTCCAAATCCTCTAGCGGCTGTCTCATTGACAGCCGCTAGAGGCACTTGCCTGATTCTCACTGTGAAAATCACAGTGAGAACACACATTATGAATGCTTTCCTATGAGACTGGCTGAATGTGCGCGCAGCTCTTGTCGCGCGTGCACATTCAGCCGAATGGGAGGATCGGAGGAGGAGGAGAGCTCCCTGCCCGGCGCTGGAAAAAGGTAAGTTTTAACCCTTTTCTCTCCCCAGAGCTGGGCGGGAGGGGGTCCCTGAGGGTGGGGGCACCCTCAGGGCACTATAGTGCCAGGAAAACAAGTATGTTTTCCTGGCACTATAGTGGTCCTTTAAGCAGAGTGGAGGTGGGGCCCTTGAATCAATTGGAGGGGTTTGACCTCAAGCCAAACTATTCAAAAACCCGTTTCATAACTTAAAGGGACACAATAGTCACCAGAACAACTACAGCCTATTGTATTTGTTCCGGTAAGTAGAATCATTCCCTTCAGGCTAGAGAACATGCTAGTGATGCCTCCACTGGCCACTCCTCAGATGGCAGCTTGAGGTGCTTTCTGAGGCAGTGCTGCACAGTATGACTAACATTCAGTGTCTCCGTCCTCTGCATGGGTACACTGAACTTTGCCTCATAGAGATACATTGATTCAGTGCATTTATATGAGGAGATGCTGATTGGCCAGGACTGTGTTTGGCTTGTGTGGATTTTTGCCCCTGGTCTTCCTTCCTAATAGTTTCAGCCAACCCCATGCTTTCATATGGGAAAGCATTGTGATTGGCTCAGAATACCATTTCTGATGATGTCCGTTAAAGGACCACTCTAGGCACCCAGACCACTTCCACTTAATGAAGTGGTCTGGGTGCCTGGTCCAGCTAGGGTTAACCCATTTTTTTTATATTCATAGCAATTTCAGAGAAACTGCTATGTTTATAAATAGGTTAATAAAGCCTCTAGTGGCTGTCTCATTGACAGCCGCTAGAGGCGTTTGCGTGCTTCTCACTGTGAAAATCACAGTGAGAAGACGCAAGCGTCCATAGGAAAGCATTATGAATGCTTTCCTATGAGACTGGCTGAATGCACGCGCAGCTCCTGCCACGCATGCGCATTCAACCGAAGAGGAGGAGGAGAGCTCCCCGCCTGGCGCTGGAGAAAGGTACGATTTTAGCCCCTTCCTCTCCCCAGAGCCCGGCGGGAGGGGGTCCCTGAGGGTGGGGGCACCCTCAGGGCACTATAGTGCCAGGAAAACGAGTATGTTTTCCTGGAACTATAGTGGTCCTTTAAGCAGGTAGGTGGTGGTTTTAACACTATAGGGTCAGGAATAGATGTTTGTGTTTCTGACACTATAGTCACCAAAACAACCTTCATTTAAAGGATCACTATAGTGTCAGGAAAACAAAGCGGTTTTCCTGACACTATAGTGCCCTGAGGGTGCCACCACCCCCAGGTTTCCCCTCCCGTGGCGCTGAAGGGGTTAAAACCCCTTCAGTTACTTACTTTAATCCAGCGCCGGGCGCCCTCGCCGCTGGTGACCTCTCCGTCCGATGTCAGTGGAGCTGAATGTGCATGCGCACCAAGTGTCTCAATGCTTTCCTATGGATGCTCTGCGCGATGGATGCGAAATTCGTATCCAGCGTTGCAGATACGTCTCTAGTGGCTGTCCGGAAGACAGCCAATAGAGGCTGGATTAACCCCAAATGTAAATATAGCAGTGTCTCTGAAACTGTTTGCATCTGAAGGGTTAAAACCTGAGGGACCTGGCACCCAGACCACTTCATTGAGCTGAAGTGGTCTGGGTGACTATAGTGTCCCTTTAATGAAGCAGGATGGGTGTATAAATCATGCCCCTGCAGTGTCACTGCTCAATTCTGACATGTAGGAATTCACTTTGTTTATACTGTCCTAGGTACACCTTCCTGCATGTGATTTTTTTTTTTTAATATTGCATTCCTAAACACTTACTGAAACAAGTCACCTAATGTTTACACTTCCTTTATTGCAAATTCTGTTTAACTTAGATTTTCTTATCGCGTGCTGTTGGTAGATCCCGCAGGAGCCTTCTATGTGTTATTCTCTAGGGCTGCACTGTTCCTTTGCAACTCCCTTCCTTTCTCCATTAGACATTCACGCATTCTCCATTCCTTCAAGCAATAATTGAAACCTCACATCTTCAGCAAAGCATATCAATTAAACTGTTAATAACTTAGCCCCTGCACTGATTCCTCTCCTGCAACTGCCATATAGTGAATACTTCTAGCAACCTAGTTTTCTACCTTACCTTTTTTGTCACTATACCCCACTCCCTCTAGCCCTTAACTCCTCTGTTCTTGCGCGTCAAACTAGTTTGGTTACAATTGTGTTTGTTCGTCTACCTGTTGTACAGCGCTGCTGAATTTGTTGGAGCTTTATAAATAAGGTAAAAGTGATTACACTCCTAAATGAGACTGCAGGAGCATGATCTATATATACACCAAAACTGATTCATTGAGAGAGTTGTTTTGGTAACTATAAAGAGCAAGGTGTCCAGGCACTCTGGCACCATAATACAGCATGTATTAAAGGGTGCTTGGGTCCTTTTTAAATCTTTATTGGTAAATTATTAATTTGTTTGAATGAAGATTTATCTGTGGCATTTTCTAGATTGAAAGGGACACTATAGTCACCAGACCAACTACAGCTTATTGTATTTGTTCTGGTGAATCATTCCATTCAGGCTTTTTGCAGTGAATACTGTCTTTTCAGAGAAAATGCAGTGTTTGTTACAGCCTTGGGATACTTCCACTGGCTACACCTCAGATGACTACTAGAGGTGCTTAAAGGACCACTATAGTGCCAGGAAAACATACTCGTTTTCCTGGCTCTATATGGTCCTTGGGTCCACCTCACCCTCAGGGGCCCCCTCCCGCCAGTCTCTAGGGTGAGGAATGGGTTAATACCTTACCTTTTTTCCCAGCGCCGGGCTTCCTCCTTTCCTGTAATCGTTTGAATGCGCATGTGCGACACGAGTCGCGCGCACATTTAGCCAGTCTCATAGGAAAGCATTCTCAATGCTTTCCTATGGATGCTGGCATCTTCTCACTGTGAATATCAGTGAGAAGCGTGGAAGCGCCTGTAGCGGCTGTCAATGAGTTAGCCACTAGAGGCTGGATTAACCCTAATGTAAACATAGCAGTTTCTCTGAAACTATGTTTACAGCAGAAAGGATTAATCCTAGATGGACCTGGCACCAGACCACTTCATTAAGCTGAAGTGGTCTGGTGCCTATAGTGGTCCTTTAACCTGCCATTCAGTGTCTCCACCCTCTGCATGGAGACACTGAACTTTCTTCATAGAGATGCATTGATTCAATGTATCTCTATGAGGAGATGCTGATTGGCCAGGGCTGTGTTTGAATCATGCTGGCTCTGCTTCATATCTGCCTCCTTGACAAGCTCAGCCAATGCAATGCTTTCCTATGTGATTGGCTTTTGTCAAGACTTCTGATGATGTCAAGCAGGCAGATCAGAGCCAGCAACAGCAAATAAAATTATGATTTTGCTATATTTAGGGGGTGTAAAGGGGGGCTAGATGGTGGTTTAACAATATAGGGTCAGGAACAAAAACATGTATTCCTGACCCTAAAGTGTTCCTTTAAAGTTTAAATATATCAGTTAGGTTTAGAGTCTTTTTAATGGATTATTGAGATATTGTAAGTGTGGGATTCACTAATTTCAGGTTTCCTTTTCACCTGCAAATGTGGTATGTCTCCTGAGACCAGGAGGTTGCTGAGAATTTTGAGCCAATCCCTGAACCTTGTTCCTAGTGCAGTTTAAAGAGAAACTATGGTGCAAAAAAAGCCCTATTTGATTTTAAATGCCCTATAAAAATACATATACCTGTATTCAGTTTATCTTGATGCACTTTTTTTTCTGTGGTCTTCATGCAGCAGATGATAGATAATAATAAAAAAAACTCGCCTTTTCATGTTTTGTAGCTGTCCAGATGAATGACACTGTCTGCAAAAAAAGCACCTATTAGGAGCCTCCTTCATTATTGTTGTTAGTAAAGTACAAACCTATGCTGCAGCGCTGTATAATGCGTGAGCTAACAAACTAGTACATTAAGTTGTAACAAGACAGGAAAAGACTTGCAAATCTTTCTAAATCTCCTCCCACACATACCGTGCCAGGTGTCTTGTCTGTTGGACTCTGCTCAACTGAAAGGAGGAGAGTTCAACACAAATTGTTCAGAGCAAACCATATGCAATATTTGCATAGCTTTGCAGAGTGGGATGGCCCTAAAACTGGATTTGGGAATCTCTGTGGCAGGTTAACTGAACATTTGTGTGGATTTGCATATGATCACCTGTGCTTGGAGCTCATGGAGGGAGAGTATCCTATACAAGTAGTACTTTGTTGGGATCCTGCCTTTCATTCTCAAAAGTTGTTTGACAATTTATAATGGGGGAGGGTCCCGAGCACCTCTGGCTCCATAACCTCTATAGCAGGCGTGCCTTTCCATTGTGTGGAGTAGGCCAGTAACAGTGCTTGGAGTGTGACTTTCATCATGTCTGTGTATTAGTAGACTGTGCCTAGCCTACCTTTTAGCTAAATGTATTCTCTGGTTGTAATTGCATGATCAGTAAAACTTGGACAAGATCCCTTCCTCAGAGATTAAAGGTTGTTTTGTGGTTTAGCATTAGTCTCTAATGGATTGCATTCACAGAGCTGGAGCTCCTCCTACAGGCTGCAATTTTAGTTTTTCTAGAATCTAGAAAGCGGTGTTAGAAAGTTAGGTGTCACAACAATAATTATTTGTCGTTAAAAGAACACTATTCCTTACGCTATAGTGCCCTGTTGCCGTTTAGGTCACTGGCCCCCCACCAGCAAGGACATAATTGTGGCACAGTTCCAAAATTGTCAAATTTATTTTAAGACAACTTACCTGGGATTCTGGAAGAGTTCAGAAGCTCCTGCACTGAGCTAAGCCCAGTGTTTATTATTGGCCGAGAGTGATCAGCTAATGAACCCGGTATGGCACTGTTTAGCTCAGTGAAGCGAACACAAGGGTGCTTGGGATGTTCCTTTTTAAAGGTGAAAAAATAAGTGTCAGAAGTTGTCGGCCTTGGTGTTCTTTTTCCCTATGGGCCAACTGATTTAAATACAGTATTTCAACTAGTTTTTGTGGCCTGAAACACATATTAATAAAGATAGGAGAATGGAAATTTTTAAATGTGCAGCGATCACCATTAAAATTGCTATATTCCATTTTTATGTTGTGCTGATTACTCCATTTTTAGAACCATTTTTCTGTTGACAATTGTTAAAGAGGTAGTTTTACTTAAAGGGACACTATATAGTCGCCAGAACAACTATAGCTTATTGTAGTTGTTCTGGTGAGCAGGCGTTTTCATGCAAAGACTGCCCTTTCAGAGTGTTTACATGTTTAAAACTATTTGGGTCAGGAATACACGTTTGTGCGCAAAATACTGTACTGCGCAAATAAGCCCCTGAACTTTACGCGTATATTTCAGAAGAAGCACTTTCAGCGACTGCCACTAGCGGCATTTAAACCCTGCAATATAAACATTGTTGTTCCTGCAGAATGGTTATGGTTTCACTTTCTTGGTTAAAGGACCACTATAGGCACCCAGACTACTTCAGCTTAATGAAGTGGTCTGGGTGCCAGGTACATCTAGGATTAACCCTGCCTGCTGTAAACATAGCAGTTTCAGAGAAACTGCTATGTTTACAAATGGGTTAATCCAGCCTCTAGTGGCTCGCTAGAGGCGCTTCTCACTGTGAGAAGACTCCAGCGTCCATAGGAAAGCATTGAGAATGCTTTCCTATGAGACTGGCTGAATGCTCGTGCCGCACATGCGCATTCAGCCGATGACAGGAAAGGAGGAAGCCAGAGGGAGCACGGCGCTGGAAAAAAGGTAAGGGATTAATCCCTTCCTCACCCTAGAGCCCGGCAGGAGGGGGCCCTGAGGGTGAGGGGGACCCAAGGACCCTATAGAGTCAGGAAAACGAGTATGTTTTCCTGGCACTATAGTGGTCCTTTAAACCTACGGGGACATTGAGATTAGGTTGTGTGGGTGCCTACAGTGTTCTTTTTAAAGGAACACTATATAATGTTACAAATACAAACTTCCTGATCCTACAGTGACCACCTAGCTGTTTAGGTGCTTGCATCACTTTAAAGGGACACTATGGTCACCAGAACAACTACATCTTATTGAATTTGTGCTGGTGAGTAGAATCATTACCTTCAGGCCTTTTGCTGTAAACTGTTTTTTTTTTTTTCGGAGAAAATGCAGTGTTTACATTACAGTCTAGTGATAACTTCACTGGCCACTCCTCAGATGGCTGTTAGAGATCCTTCCTGGGTCATGGCTGCCTAAAATGCATCCAAACATTCAGTATCTCCTTCCTCTGCATGCAGACACTGAACTTTCCTCATAGAGATTAATTGATTCAATTCATCTCTATGAGGGGATGCTGATTGGCCAGGGCTGTGTTTGAATCATGCTGACTCTGCCCCTGAGCTGCCTCTTTGTCAGTCTCAGACAATCCTGTGGGGAAGCACTGTGATTGGATCAGACTACCACTTCTGATGATGTCAGCAGACTGTTTGTTTTTCTGAGTTACAGCTTCTGGCTTGAGTACAGTAAGATTTTGCTATATTTATGGAAGCATGAGGGACCCAGGGGGGCTAGATGGTGATTTTTAACACTATATGTTTGTGTTCCTGACCCTATAGTGATCCTTTAAGCACTATAATCTATGCCTATTACCTGTTTTGCTCCCCATTTCTACTAGTTCCTATGGTGAGCGGGAAGCTTCTAAACAGGATCTTCCGCTGGCTCTCGTGAACAAACACTAAAACAGTTTGACTTCTTTCCTGGTGTACACAGGGCGCAGCTCTCCACCTCTCTTACTGAAGATGGAGAACTAGAAGCAGGTGATCAGGTGACTTTCTCAGCCAATGAGTTAGCTCTGCATTGCATGGCTTTGCTCAGAAGAACTCCTGCTTAGGAGCTTCTAACTCTCCATAGGAGGTATCGGAGGTAGGGAGTCAAACTGTAGCCATACTACCAAATTCACTACAGCAAGCGTTAATGCTTGGAGCATTCATTTACATTTGAACTAAACACTGTTCTATATCACTGGGATAAATGCCATTTCTTGAAAAGGTTAGGTCAAAAGAGATATATATATATATATATATATATATATATATATATATATATATATATATATATATATATATATATATATATATATATATATATATATATATCTCTATCCCAGTATATAGTGACATTGGCTTGCTTTTGGTGTACTTTATTTATTTTTATTTTTTTCATAATAAATGGAAATTATGTCGGAATTGCCCCCCACCCCCTTTTTTTTTTATATGTATATGGGCGTGTCCATTTTGTATCTCTGTTCATGTGTCTAAAGTACTTTTATTTGTTTTTAGGATACGCCCATAAGGGGTGGGGTTAATTTTGGAGTCTTTCTGCTGAGCTCTCAGGAGCATGCCCCCTCCAGAGACTGTCTGTGCTTGCACTGAGAACCACTGATCCCGTGACCTTCACTTTCTATTCATTTAGATCTGCAGGGAGAATCGAAACTGCCATCTGTCTCAATCATAGGTAAAAATAAGCTACCTGGAAATCTCTCTTTTATTCTGTTTTTACTTTTGCTGTTGTGCGCACGTTGAAATGTTTTGCTGCAATCTGGCTGACTAGATCTTTGGGATTTTTTATATATATATTTTTTTTTTCTGTGAGGCAAGAAATACCCACTTGTCTGTGGTATAATTTATGGTTCGTGATTCATGTCTGAAGAGGTTTGAAAGTGCTTGTGAAAATCAATGTTCACCTTAGTGTAGTGACCATTATGGATGAGGGCTTTCTCCAAAACCATACAAAGCACATTATTGTATATATGGCTACTTTCTTCTTTTTCCTCCCATAGTTAAGAAAGGCAAATGTAAAACTGATAGAGTGAACAGTTTTTTTTGGATAATTTAACCGGTTTTCCGTGTGTATGAAGTGCATACAGTAAGATGATGTGTTCTGTGTTTGGCCTATATTCTCTTATTAGACGTTGACGTCGGGTGAATGGTGGGATCCAGATATAGAGAGAGATAGTATTTGAAATGTTTTGAGAGTGTATTCGTTTTTGTCTGACGTGCACCGCCAGTAAACTGTGTGCTAGTTTCTGCCTTGGCTCTTGCACTTATTTAAAGCTTGCTCTGTAAGGCCTGGCTACCGCTGCTCTTACAAAAATGCATATTTATTTTCAGAATTGCATCCGTGCAATGGAGGACGATACAAGTTCTCAGCCCTCTGAACCCCAGCTTGAGAACATGGGGAGCACTTCTCCTGGTATGCCTCTTCTGTAGATTAGAGACTGTAATACTGATATTAAGTAGGCCTGCATCTCAAGGTGAATGGCTTAGTATTTAGCACTATTTTGAGGGCGGAGCTCTGTAAATCATACAGTTGGGCTGATTTTGCATAGTCTTTATCACAAGTTGAGGTTTCTCTCCAATTCAATGAATTACACCTGAGGAGTCTTTTGCAGATTAACATGTAGTGCTATTTACTTCGTCACTTGCCTGGGGGTGCAAGCTGTTCTTTTCAGGTTCCTTTTTAACATAAAAATAAATTGTGACCATTCAATGTATTAATCAGATCCTCTCCTTACATTTGCTAATTTTAAAAATGTGCGCATATTGCCACTTCATTACAATAACTTGTTTTGGTACATTTTGAATTTACATTGCAGCTGTTTATAAGAGCATTGAATAAACTATAAATCAGTTGACCGTATTCTAAATTATTTAAGTCCATATACCCTGTCTCCTATTTTAAACTGAATTCTTCAGGAGAGTGCTCCAGGTTATTAATTTGCATATGTATTTTCCAATTTGTTTAACGATACAAAGCCTGCTGGTATTCTAACCTAGTTGAATAGTCATGTCTTGCCTAATGAGACCCCCTGTTGCTGGTTTCACATGCTGCAGGGTCTGACATTCAGTGTACCTGACATAAAATGTTTTCTCCAACCATTCCTTTTTAAACTTGTGAATAACACCTTAAAGACATTATTTGTCACTCCCACCCCCCCTCTTCCTCCTCATAAAGATGTCTTTAATTGAACCATTTAACCAGCTCAGAGCATGCGCATGCTGAGGGAAACATGGGATATCGTATGGGAGGGCTACAGTTAATGCGGGTGGTAGGGAAGAGCTACCATATCCTTGCAGGCAGAGCAGAGTCTTTTTTTTTTTTTTTTTTTTAATGCACTGAATTTACATTGGCAGCCCATAACGTGTGCTGGGGGTGCAACTATCTCCCAGCACACAGAAGCAGAAACACTGCACATCCAGACTCCTTCTGCCATGACCACTTCAAATCACTGAAGTGGTCATGGTGGTTGAAGTAACCCTTTTAATGCATAACTGCTGTTTTCATAGTTGCATAGAGTACGCTTTCATTTAAAAGTTGATTTTGTGCATCCTATCTACTGCCGCCTGCTGTGGTGGTTATGATGCCAGGAGTGCCCTGCCACTGTTACCGTAATGAGGCAAACCATATTTTGCTATGGCTTCTCTTAATTAGGTCCACTCTGCGCCAAGCCTCCTCTGATGCTGGTAAACTGGCTTCTGGCATTCGATCATTGACTGAGAGCATCAACTGTTTACTCTCAGCCAATATGATAGAAACCTTTAAATACATTTAGGAAATCAACACCGTAAAGGATGAGACTATATATTTAAAAGAAGAAAAACTACCACAAAAAGAGAAGTCTTAAATTAGAGGGGCAAAGGTTTAAAAATAATTCCAGGAAGTATTACTTTACAGAGAAAGTAGTGGATGCATGCAATAGCCTTCCAGCTGAAGTGGTAGAGGTTAACACAGTGAGGGAGTTTAAGCATGTGTGGGATAGGCATAAGGCTGTCCTAAACTTAAGATAAGGCCACGGACTAATTAAAAGTATTTCGAAAATTGGGCAGACTAAATGGGCTGAATGGTTCTTATCTGCCGTCACTTTCTATGAATGGCCCTCCATGCACAGAATGCAATTGGCCAGTCATATCTCTTGTTTAGCGCTGGCTAATGACTGAGTTACACCTCTGGTATTAATATAAAATAAATTGGTACTGCATTTCATACAGAATCCTTCAGAAACACTGAAATGATCTTCATGCTTTCATGTAATGTTAGTGTGAAATACTCCTATCCATCACTGCGGCAACATAGTTTCTGTTAATAGGCTTGGTTAGTAGATTGTGGTATGTTTGTGCAGTAAACTCATCCCTAGTTCAGTGGGAGTTACTGAAACCAGAAACAGGCATGTGATGTAGCTATGTAATAACTTTGGCAGTTAAAGGCTACCTCTGTGCAGCTTAACAACATCATCAGAATGAAATTGTTGCCTGGAGGTCCCTGGAGTAGGCTTACCTTCTAGTGTTTAAACTTTTCACGAACAGTTTAAAACCATAGTTTTCTCTCCGTTGCAGTTTAGTATTGTCCCTGTCCTAATGCTGCGCTCAGATTCTTAAAAATGGGAAGCCTCGGACTGCCATTGACATGGGTGCTCCTGACTGGCTGAGAGTGGCTTAAAAAATGTACTTAGTTTTCTAAAGCTTGTGGGGAGATACTTTATTGGCTTAGAGCATCGGCTGATACTCTCAACTAATCAGTGGCGCCCCGGTCTATGGCAATCTGTGGCTTCCCGTATGAAGAATCTGAGAGGATCGCAAGAACTGAGGCAGAACTAAAATGCGCTACAGCGAAGACTTTGAGGTTAAATCTTGGTGTTCTTTTAAGCTTGCATTCTCAGGGCACTATAGTGCCAGGAAAACGAGTATGTTTTCCTGGCACTATAGTGGTCCTTTAAGTAAAATTCCGATAGGAAAGCATTGAAACAATGCTTTCCAATGGGGAGGGTCTAATAAGTTTACGGTCGGATGATGTCTGAGAATGCGGAGTGCCGACCCAGACTTGGGGGAAATCAGCGCTGAAAACGGGTGAGTACGGTTTTTAACCCTTTCCATGCTGTGGGGGGGTGCAGATGGAATTATAGTGTAATTATATTTGTATCCATTTAAGAGAGATGCTGAGACAAAGTAGATACTACTTTGTCTCTGTATATTCCCTACGCCTGAAACTTTGAATCACAAGGCGGAGCTTCCGCAACCTGGAAGTGTCAATCCCCCTATCAGTCACCAGTAACAACTGCAGGGAATTGGCTCTGTCTATGGAAAGTGCAATTTCTTTTATTTATGTGTGTGTGTGTGTATATGTAGATATATGTATGTGTCCTCATTAAGGTCTACTCTGTTAAAACATGAAACTTGCCTTTCTCCTATTGTTTTCTCTTCCTTTTTCAGAATCTGTTCTTTTCTTCATTTGTGACCTATGTCTCTTTAACACATTAGGCAGGACAACCTTGTCTTATCTATTTTCCTTGAAAATATTGACAACAGTGAAGCTAAAGGACAACTGTCACCTCAAGACTATATTTTAAATAAGGTATATGTAAAAAAATAAAATCATCCCAGAATTTATGACCGGATCCTTCAGCCATATGCATGCACCTTGGGTCAGGCAGTCTTTGAATGTGGCAGGTATTGGGTCTGATGGCACTGCATTGTGCAGGGAGTGAAGTTGGGAAGACCATAGAGACTAACCATAGAGATTACTTACAGGTATTCATACACTCTTACCCATAGTGCATGCAAAAGGCGAAATAATTCTGTTATATACTAAAGGTAGGAAAGAGCTTCAAATTAAAAAAAAAAAATAAAAAAATAAAAATATATATATATATATTAAGTTCTCCTTTAAAGCAAGCTGCTTTTGTTAATTGAGAAAGGAAGTGAAGCTTGCATTCAGCTCCACTCTTGGATGAGATTGCCAAGTGTAGGAAAAATAAATGACAAAGAAGTCCTGTTTTAGTTTCTACCTTGCCTTATGTTTTAAAGAGAGGTCAGAAATGAAGAACAGGTTCTGGAAGAGAAAAGGATAACATAGGAAAAGGGTAAGTTTGAGATGACAGACTTTTCTTTTTTTAATTCTTTATTTTTATTGTGCGTAAGATGACAATCTAGTACAGCCACGACCGCTCATACAAGCATATAGTAACAGATATCGTAAGTCAACAACATGGCTTTTAGTAAAATGGCACTTTTTTTGTGAACATTATTCAGGCTATTCTATCACGTCTAACTATGAAGGTAGAGGACGTTAGGACATCAGTCAGCATGTTATATATAACTAGATATGCAATTTAAAGGACCACTATAGTGCCAGGAAAACAAACTTTTTCCTGGCACTATAGTATTAATAGGTCCCCCCACACTCTTGGCCCCCCTCCCGCCAGGCCTTTGGACGTCATCGGCTGAAAAAGCCGCACGCGCATTCAGTCAGTCCATAGGAAAACCTTCTCAACAGTGAGAAGCGCCTCTAGCGGCTGTCAATGAGACAGCCACTAGAGGCTGGATTAACCCATATGTAAACATTGAGCTGAAGTGGTCTGGGTGCCTATAGTGGTCCTTTAAGTTTAGCTGGATGATTTGTAAAATCAGACATTAATTTGTGAAGTGTGAGATCTACTTAACACGCTTGTAAACTAAACTAGCTTAAAATGTATTGCCCCACTGTATTTTGAAGTTTAACTATTTCAGATGCTCAATTAGGGCACAAAACCAGAGCTACTATAAACCACTTGTGGCGTATAAAGAGGCACCTGGTGTTAAATTATCACATTGGCCTTCTGCCCATGAGACTACACATGCGAAAAACAAATTGCATATGGAAAAATAAAACCGAGCAAGCACAGCTGTGGGGAATCTGCGGTCTTGTCAAACCACCTGTCAGCCGATGCCCTTTGATGGGAGGTGACCGACCCAGGGGTTTGAGATTTCGAGCTGTATATGGGCACCCTGCCGGTTCCAAGTGCTGGGATGATCCTGTGTGACTCTCTGGTTCCAGCAGTGATCCACAACGAGTGCTTGGCTTCGTGTCCACCTCTATGCATGCAGGAATCTTCCAGCATCGCAGGTTGTGCTTGTGGTAACTTCTGCTCATCTCCCAGCTTCGGCGGTTTTGCTCCAGCCACGGCAGTCGCATGGGCTTCCTTCTTTGTGCGGTTCGTAGGCCAGGTAAGTGGCTGCTTAGTCGGGAGCCGTTCCTCTGACAGCGAGGCAATCGCTTTGGTGTCTTACCCAGCCGCCTCTTCTGTAATGCAATTGTAGTGTTGCAAACTGCAGGCTTGACTTGGTGCACCGGAGTGCCCGGTTGCTGAGCCTCAGCCAAAATTGTACACAGATGTAAAGCACCCGAACATTCAGGATCAGGTGGGTACTTGTTTGAGCAGCCTCTGGAGGTAGAATCTCAACATAAATTGTGGTATTCAAGAGTCTTGTGAGGAGCTCTCACTGTGTGTCTATTCACCATGATGGCAAGGCCCCGTCCCGAGGTGACACATGTTTAAGAGCCAATAGCCCTTTTTTTTTTTTTTTATGTAGATGTCAAATTTATTGTTTACAGGTGTAGTAGTGCAGGACCCAAAAGGTTTCCATGGCAACATACACAATGCATATGTAAAAAAAATAGTGATTGGAGTGCAACAGCACTACAGTACTGATCACAGAGGTGGATGGAGCTGCACACCTGAGGGGAAGGGCAACCCTCAAACCCTTCAAAAAATCTGGGAGAACAGGAAACAACAAAAATATAGGGTGCGCTAATGAGAAATAATATTAACAAATGAGAGATATTTACAAAGAGAGTCTCTGAAAATACAAGGTGGGCCTTGGGTAGGTCGTCTTAAGTTCTTGATAAGGTCCTCAGTGATTAATATGAAAAACAAAAGTAAACACAAAGAAAAACCAATAGTGCAAAACCGTTAGGAGATGGTGTCATGGATAACACAGAAATAGAAAAATGCCAACTCACAATCGATAGAGCTATGCCCAGCTCTAGGTAAAACAGCATACAGTGGTATTTGAAACTCCCTACATGTAGGATATAGCTGGACAATAGGTGATTCTTCGATACTTTGTACAACGTCTCAAATACGCGCCAGCATATAAAATACATAAGAATGAAGAAAAAAACCAATGGTGCAATAACGTATGACACCTGCAGCTACAGACAAACACTTAAGTCCTAAGAGTGCCAACTTACAATAAAAAGAGCTATCACCAGCACTAAGTAAAACAGCATACAGTGGTATTTAAACTCCCCACATGTAGGATGTCCTTCTGGTGATGTATGAAGTGCAGGATTTATGAAAGACAAAAGCACAAAAGAGAGCCCATAGTGTTCTCAGTATATAAAATTGGTTCTAAAAGGTAAAATCAAACATACTTACAATATATAGAGCTGCCACACTGCTCTATGAACCAGGCGTGAGTGGAATAATCCCCACCTAAGGATTTCTTTTGTAGTACTGGATCTTTTAAAACAGTAAAAAATCAACCAGGATAAAAGTAGAATGACTGACCATAGAAATATAGGTAGTCTAAAAAGTACTTTTATTATAACAAGATCATAAAAAAACACAACGCGTTTTGCCCAAAATAGGCTTTTTCAAGTGTAGCCAATTGAAACTGCTCTTCATTCTAGTTTCCAGGCAGACATTCCTTCAGGCTATGCCCTCAGCATTTCAGCCAATAACAACCTAGTATGCAATGCATGTGGGCAACTGCAATTATAACCCTGTGGAGATGTGGTGCGGGCATTGATGCCTTCAGGACTGTGTGTGTGTAGGCACCCATAGAAATTGTGCATGGGAGCAGGATTTTTAGAAACAGTGTGTGTCCATACATATTGTGAGTTATCGGTTCCAGGCCTTTGCCAAGTATCTTGAGTGATGTTTCATTGAATGTAGTATGAACATAAAACTGCAAGTTCTGAGAAGGAGTGTTTGTTGTCACTAACAATAAAGACTGTAAATCCCTTTGTATTCTTAGCATGTGTATGTTTCCTTGTCCATATTGATATTAATGGAACTTGTCATGGGCAAAACTACTTTAGCTCTTTTAAAAGAGCTTCAAATTCCCTCTATACATCATGCTAGCAGTTTGTGCACTGGGCTAGCAGTTTAAAAATAAGGCTTTTCCCCCATATACCTCTTAGTTTCCTGGCAGACACTCAGTTCTGTGGAACGGAGTCTGGCAGAGCAGCAGGGACCTGCCACCTTAGTCACTCTGCTTTTCACCAAAGCACTAGCTAAAGAATATAGGAAGGGATTGACAAGAAGTGCCCCTACACAGGACAAATTAAAGAAAGAGCAATGAAATGGGGGAGCTGGGCGCGGTTGTTACAGAAGTGCAACACCCACCTCTGTAAGGAGATTGTGGCGGGGGAGCGGGCAGTCAGGTAAGTAGTGATGATTTCCCTTTAATAAAAATTAAGATGTTCCTGTGAAGAATGTGGGGCCTGGGAGGGTGTATGGTTAGTTCATACTAAATTGTAGCAGATGTTGATTTAAGAAAGATGGTAGCCTATTCAGACGTGCGGACCAAAGTTCATTCCTGGTTCCTTTTTATATAGTGGCCCTTTCATATGATGTCACAGAAAAACCTTTTTAAGTTTGAGAAATTATCCCTAACCAGCTGTCATTGAGTGCCTCCACACCCAGACACATGGATTGTCTGTACGCCTCACATGCTTGCAAATCTAACCATGTAGCAGAGCAGGTCAAAGATTTATAAAATCCGTTTGTTTCTTTAAATCTACTAAAAGAAGGTGGAACTAGAAAATAAAAAAAATAAACCAACCTCATTAAAAGTCATTTTTTTTTTTTTTTAATCTTACAGTTGCAAACGATAGATTCAGTCTTAAAACAAATCTATCCTTACCAGAATTTCATCCGTTTCCAACACAACTCTACTCACATCTTTTTTTCTTTTGCTCAGAGCATGTTTTCCAGCATGCATCTGGCCACTTTCTGATTGGCTCATTATTTTGTAGTGTTTCATTTAAGGTGTGTTTGGGAGACAAGATTTTGGTTATTCACATAACGGATGTTGATATACTAATGGTAATGTTGCAATTTCATTGTTCTAATGTTTCTTTGTATTAAATGTACGGTACTTTTATTCGCTGTTACTGTAAACTGATCTTGCATTCTGATAGTTTAAAGCTAGTTCTAATGTCTGTAGAACATATTATAACACATTTGATATAAGTGTGTTCATTTCCTTTTTATTTGTTCTAAATTAACATATGGAAAAGATGAGTCGTTACTGGTGTTAATGCGAAATGCACTAATTCAGTTTTCCCTCTTCCAAATATCAGTGTCTATTTGGGATGATCAGAGCGGGGAAGAAACCCTGAGAACACTTAAACCTACAAGCAAGGAATTCAGAAAAACGTGGGGGTTCCGCAAGACAACTATTGCTAAACGCGAAGGAGCCTTTGACACAGATATGGAGTCTGAGTCTTCTCAACAAGCTGGTCCTTCCCTTAGACGTAGTGGCCGTCAGCCAAAACGCACAGAGCGCGTAGAAGAGTTTCTTACTGCAGTTAGGAGGAACAGAGGGCGTAAAAGTACTACCTTAGAAGATTCGAGTGATAGGTCATGTCCGGTTACTGATGCAGAGACTGCTTCAGAGGGTAGTGTGGAGAGTACACCGGATACCAAGACTGATGGTCAAAGGGCAGACACAAGCATAAAACGTGAAGTAATTGTTAAAACTGAACCGAAGTGTGAAGAGGATGACAGTTCAGACAGTGATGGTATGACTCTGAAAGAACTGCAGAATAGACTGAGGAGCCGACACTCTGATAAACCAGCTAGTGACAGAGTTCAGGATCAGTCTGTGACTACTCCCAAAAATGAATCTCTGGCTCTGACAGAAAGTTCTGTGCGCACCCGAAGTGCTAATCGTGCAGCTCAGTTACAGCACCAAACCTTACCCATAAAGCAGGAAGCACAAAGTCCTCAACCAGCAGAAGAGCGAAAGTTTGACAATATTGGGCAGAGTCCCAGAAGCCGTCCCGAACGCGAAATCTATGATCCAAATACTCTTTATTGTATCTGCCGCCAACCCCATAATAACAGGTACGTGTTACAAAGTTTAAAATACATATTGTGAAATGCCTCCTATAACAGCTACCAGTTTTTAAATAAAATATTTTTAGTTGCAATCCTGTCCCTCAATAAATTAATATTTTCCGTTTTAATATATGGTGCGCCGAGTTGTTGTTTTTCTTTTTCCATTCAAAATTTCCATTTTGTTTTAATGATTTCCTTTGAAATTTTGCAGTGGGTTGCTATATTTTTTTTTTTTCTTATTATTATTTTCTTTTCTTTTTTTTTTTTTCTTTTTTTTTTTTTTTTTTTTTTTTTTTTTTTTTTTTTTTTTTTTTTTTTTTTTTTTTTTAGGCGAATTCCTATCAAATTTGTTCCCCTTAACGGTGTGCCCTTTTTTTCTGGGTAACATTTTGTCAGACTGAAAACTGCTTACCAATAAAAGTATTCAGTTGCACATCAGCCTAGTGAATTTACTGTGGATCTTATTTATCTTATTACTCTTGACCTGCTTTGTCCTAGGTTTATGATTTGCTGTGACAGATGTGAAGAATGGTTTCACGGAGATTGCGTTGGAATTTCTGAAGCTCGCGGTCGATTATTGGAAAGAAACACAGAGGATTACATTTGTCCGAACTGCATGATGTTGCAGGTAAAGGATGAAGCTGACAGTGAACAGAAAGATCAGCCTCTGGGAGAGAGTAGCTCGTGTGCTCAGCAGACAAGCACTGAAGTCATTGAAAAGTCTTTAGATGATCAAGGCATAAAGGGCAGGATTGAGAAAGCTGCACATCCTAGTGGGAAGAAGAAACTCAAAATATTTCATCCTGTGAGTCCCGTGAGTACCCTGGTTTACTGGATTTATTGTATCTATTACTGAAAATAATTTATACTCCTTGACAAGAACATACATTTTTCAGCATGTTTTGCTTTTGTCTAATGAAGAGTGGATATTTGAAAATTTCAGCGGTGTACTGGTGCAAAGGCTGAAACGTTAGAAGCCTCCCAATTCCTTGATGTTTAGAGATAGAAGTAATATATTTAATTGTGATATTCTTAATTTTACTTATTTAAAAGTCTCTGTAAGTAGTATGAATACTAGAGTTTATTGTATTGGTCTTTTTAGTTTCTGCCTCCTTAATTGGATTGAACTATTTTAAAGCAGTTTAATAAATACTCTGCTCTCTGCTCACATGGCTAGTCCCTTTGCTCCAGTAATGCATAAGTGAACGTTGACGTTCTCACAATCCATGTAGGGCAGCAGTACAGTGCTCACAACTCTTTGCTGCATAGCCACTACAATGAACTGAAGCAGTTTTGGTGCTGGTTGTCTGCTTTGATTGGAGTATGTCTTGACTTGAAATGTGTGCAGGTTTTGATTGGCACATTCTTCACCAAACTGTCAACAACTTTTGTTGTATTAAGCTTTATAGAAGGTGTCCATAAGTATGATTTTCCATTCTGCTTTATTGATGGAGGCGTCCACGGTTGCATTGTGTCATGTTACTTTCATGGGGGCTATTCATGAGCTTGTACTATACTGTTATAAATTTGGTGGCAGCAAGCTTTACTAACAAGGACTGTCCATCAGTTTGCTTGCTTCGAGCTTTATTAATGAGTACTGTCCATCTGTTTGGTTGTGGGAGGCTTTTTGGTTATGACTGTTGGTAAATTCGGAAAGTGAAGTTGGAGAGTGTTCTTGGGAGTATTTTAATAATTTTGCGATTAGCATGTTCATCTGGAGTCTTGTTTGACTAGTGAGGGGGCTTGATAGAAAATGGGTAATTGAGCGTTTGGAGACTGACCTTTTGCGAGTGATGCTGAACTTGGTTGGAAGGTGTTCTGGCTGATGGTAAGCCTGATTGTATCTGGCTTTCATTGGTGATGTTGACCTTTCTTTGTTTAGCTATCGATGAATGAATGATGTTGGTAAGCTAATATGGGCCAGGCTTTGACAACTGATGTTGGTGAACTTCATTTGTACTGGCCTTTATGAGTGGATAATTTATGTTGAGTTGGGCATTGACAAGTGATGGTTTATTGAATGTGGCTTCTGCTGTTGTTGAGCCTGATTGGGTTGGATTTTGTGGAATGGTACTGATGAGCCTTTTTGAGATGGAGCTTTGACAAGGAATTGGATGTTGGTGAACTTGAGAAGGTTTAGTCTTTGAGAAGGAAGTTTGGCGTGTTTGGTTGGCTCAGGCGTTGCTCAGTTTAAGTGAGTCTGGTTGAGCTGTAACAAGTTTAATTTGAGGATTTGCTTTGTTGTGTAGGTGGTGGAGCCCGCAGCTCTTGAAGAGTCTTCCACTGTATCAGAGTCTCCTGAAATGGCTAAATGCATTGGCCCAGGCTGTTCAAACATTGCCCTTCCAGATTCTGTTTATTGCAGTCATGACTGCATCCTGAAACATGCAGCAGCCGCCATGAAATCCCTTTCTGCAGCCAAAGAAACCAAACCGAAAGAAAAGGCGAAGGTAAAATCTGAGAAGAAATCTCCACCCAAACCCCAGGTAAGCGTACTATCTAAGTGTGGTCTGCGTGGGCATTTTTCTTTCTTTTTTTTTTTTTTTTTATCATGCCACTCTGGGTGACTATAGGTATAGCTCTGGTCTAACTCTAGTAGATACATATAGAATGATCTGTCAGAAACGTCATCTCTTTAAAGGGACACTATAGGCACCCAGACTTCTGTCCCCCTTAGACCTGCAATGTAAATCATTGCAGTTTTAGAGTAACTGCGATAATTACATTGCAGGAAAAGAATGCCTCTAGTGGTTTTCATGCAGACAGCCACTAGAGGCACTTCCTGGTGGTTAAGCAACTTTTGGTTGCCTATCTGAAGCTGGATGCCCTCTCACTCTGAATAAAGACATCTAGCATCCGTTAAATCACCACAGTAAAGCATTGAGCGTTGCAAGTGCATTAGGGCCCCCCGCTGGGCGCTGAAATCGGGTAAGTGTTAAAAGGTTTTTTTTTTTAACCATTGCTATGTGGTGGGGGGCACAGAGGGAACTATAGTGTAATGAATGCAACTTTGTTCCCATTGCTTTCAGTGGGATAACATTTATCTATAAAATAGCAAGGGTTGGTGATTTGTCCTGACAAAAGCCTTATGCTCGGTAATATAATATAAACGCAAAATAAACAATTGCTTTGATGTTAAACCATATTTAAGAGTAGTTCATTTTAACCCAATTCAGTGACCTTTAACTTTCAGAAAACACATTGCGGCTGTTTAAAAGCTTTGTGTGTGTGTGTCCTTTTTAAACAGAAACACACTTGTCAAAATTTTCAATATCTTATGTAATTATCTCTATATGAAACTATGTATCTGTCAGGTGTAAAGAATAAATTATATGTAGAAATCCACACCTCTTTAACCTGCATTCCGCATAGAGCGAGCATACAGACGAGGAGAAATTAGTGTTTCTACATCTGCTCTTCATTTGCAATATTTGCCCTGGCTGTGCCAGGACTGACCTGGATTATGTTATTTGTAAAAGCTTTACTATAAATTGAATAGAAAACACAGCATCTCACATAAAAACAGTAAACACGAGTTCTAGGTGATTGTCAGTGTTTATTTAAAGGTGTAAATTCCTGAAAATGTACAGTTTCTTTTGAATGCCTTCACTCATAAACTAATGATGGATTATTCTGCAGTTTTTATAGATTTTAAAGATTTCTTGGCCTGTCGCACTCATATTTTCACAAAACCTGTACTAATTACTCATTATATTACTTATTATGAGCTTTGGTACGGGTGAACCTTTTATCGGGGATTTGAAACCACTCAAATATACTGATATAGACTTTAGGTATCTGTTCTGCTTGAATGGATTGCAGTTTTAATTCTAAAACAGAAGTAGTCCTTTCTCGAACAGCATCCAACCTGCCAGAGCTGTTTTTATTTTCTTTGGTTCCACTAATTAGCCTTTCCATTTTTACTCTTCATGTGGCACTGAGACACTGCTAACTTATCTACTATCTGCTACAGGTGACTGTGAAACCAGCAGCCCTATCGACTGCCCTTCATCCCGAAAAGCCAGAAGCACTGATGAAAAAAGTTCTAATAATGATCCCAAGAATGGAGACCAATGTCCAAAGTGAGCATCCAGCGGAGTGCAGCAGCGCCCCCTCCTGGGAGAGCGACCATAATTACATTGCAGTAAAGCCAGAAAAGACTGCAGCCATTTCATCCACACTATTTTACAAATGTATGTATCACCGAAGGATCTCTCCCCATAACAAAATACCCGTTTCAGTCACCCACAGATCTTTCTTTCACATGTCTTCCATGCACCACTCGCCAGACAGCATAGGGGTTTTTCTTTTATTGTTATTAACCAGAAACCCTTTTGTCCCTTAAAATGTTATCTACATTTAAGAAGGATGGGTATATTTTTGGGAAGTGGTTGTTTCCTGGTGTAGTGATTTTAAACAGCATTTTAAGCTTTGAAGGGTAAGTATTGAGCACCAATAGGTTGGGTTCATTTATTCACATTTTTATACTTTTATTCTGAAGGATGAGCTCACTAGTGTTGACAATTCTTTCTTATAAACTGTGAGGTAGCTCAAGAGTTAAACCCTCAGTGTCAGTCAAATCTTTCATTCCCATTAATTTGGGCTCAATCTTTTATCTTTTTAAGATCAAAGAAAATCTATTGTATAATAAATATAGACTCCAGAACCTAAACATCAAATTATACTCTGATTTAAGATACAGAATATGATGGGCCTACCCGGAAGGGCTGCATGTAAAGTCACCCCAGTACTGTCCAAAAAGCCTTTTGTGGAGTTTAGCTGTCAGACATGTACTGAAATGTAGCTAGAACATAGTTTACTCTGCTTGCATTGTAGTCACCCAGTTTCTTTTCCCTTTAATACTTTTATTAGTAAGACTTGTAGAGCGATTGAATGGACCAGCAATGTGCTTCTTTCAATGTTTCTCTAAGGCTTCTCAATCTTCTGAGCAGGGACCTGGCAACCATGAACACACTGGTACATAATTCAACCAAATGAGTCCATAGCAGAACATTTGTGAAGCCAAGAGAAGGATGCTTTATGCTTCAGTAGACATCCCTTACACTTCCAGATTGCTCTGCATGGAAAAATTTGAATTACTCCCACACTTGGCTGCGATGAAGGAATTCTTAACTATAGAGGGGTTTAATCTGACAAATATAGTCATGTGTTTGAACCTTAAAGGGTTTGGGAAATTACATAGTTGTTCATTTTGCAAGTTAATGTGAATTGCATGAAGATCTTTCCTTTTTATCCAGCGAGGAGTCTACTGCAGGTAAGTGATCATCCTATACATATTGTACTGTTTCACCACAAATTATTAAAAGAAAAAAAAAATTGAATCTCACTTTCTCGTGAAACTCTGTTTTGAACGATCACGGATGCTAAATCTTCCAATTGTTTTCATGTTCAGATTGTGCTCAACTTATCTCCATGATGAAGGGCCAGAGGTTCTCTTCAAGGGCAGTCCCTTGGTCACAATTTGGAACCCAGCCCCCTGCTTTGCTATTCATTCTTGCACCGCCCTGTTTATCTACTTTGTGCTCCCTGTTAGGGTACACCAGCTGAAGAAGACTCAAGTTTGACTTTGTGACCTATATTAATGGTAAATGGGCAGTAAGAGAAGATAGAAACATGTATGTGATGGTTTATCAGGAGCTGTGGTATTTTCTAAATTCAAGCCATGTCTCCTCTTACTATCCGTCTCACAATCACAGAATGAAACTAGGGAATTTGGGCAGGCTAAGCAACAAGCGGCACTCCAACAGCTGTAGACTGACTAATACTGAGCTTGGTTTATCCTGTACCTTCATGGGTGCACCAGTTGTAGTCCACAGAAAACAACTGTCGGGGTGCTTATCTCCACTCTAGTTAATGATAGACATACTTGTGACTAAGCTTGATTAATTCACAACTGGGCTGTTTAACACAAGGGGTTTCCTAGTGGAAGACTGGAAGCAGTAATTTACTTAAGTCTAAAATGGTTGGGGAGAATATACAAACATTTTGGGAGTTGACCGTAGTTGGGTGTGTACTGAGGTTTCAGGGTTGTGGGTGGTTGAAGGCCTTGTTTTAGGATTTGAGATGGTTAAAGAACTATTTGTGAGGTGGTGGGTATGGTTGTATTACAGAAGGACCATGCTTCTGGAAGGGGTGGTAAAAGACTTTGTTTGGCTGGGATTTGGGAGCTGTTGTGCAAAAAGGGGGAAAAAAAGACACACTTGTTCTGCTAGTACAATTACACGTAACATAAATGCAGTAGCTATTACAGACTGTTTGTTTCTTTTAGGATTTCACATAACAGGTGTCCTCTGTTTTTATTTGGGAGTAAACCAGAATACCTGTACTGAACCAAGGTGACTGCTCAAACAAGTTTGGGAAATCCTCTATTTGGTTATGAGTTGAGCAGTTAACCAAGTTGGGTTAATGATTATCTTGGCAGGAGACTCCTGGGTCTTTCAAGCCAGGTATGATCCAAGGTACAGGGGTGTTGCAACAACTAAACTTAACCACATTTCATAATTTGGGTTAAATGGCCTAAAGCAGAATGCTTCACGGCTGCAGTCCCAGTCTACTGCTTTTAGTCTGTAAATGTTTGTTTGTATTTTAATATCCACTTATGGCCAACCGTGCAGGTTGAACCTGTAAATTGGGGTGATTCGAGGGTTGGACATATTGCATAGTCCTGTCATCTGAAGGCATAGTATGCAGGATGCGGAAGAAACCACCTAGGATGCTAACCCTCCTGCTACTTTAAGGTCCATCTTCCTAGCCTTGATGACTATCAGCCTGAAGGATAACTGCATCATGTCACCTGATGAAGTCTCAAGTCTTTACCATGTGGCTGCACGTCTCATCACATCTCAAGTCGTCATTGCAGAATCTGAACCTCACTAAAAGGGGGTTTTCTTTTCCCTCCTTGCTCTGTAATGACAGCTTCAGACTGAAGACATTGGAAGTAAAGGTTTGTCCTACATCTGTATATGACCGTCTGCATTAGAGAGGTGGTACATGTCTTGCCAAGGTTAGAGGTCTCAACACGTTTAACACTTCATCTTCTTGTAATTGTGCCCAAACTCAGCCTAGTAACTGTCTTAGTAATCCCTTCAGCCACCATGATTTTAGGGGGTAGGCCACGAATAAGCCCATTTTGCCTTAAAATTTCCCAGACCCTATTCTCAGGTGTGCGTATTCCCATTCTAAATTTTGGTTTGAAATAGAACTTTGTGAAAAGTGTTGCGGTTATGACCCAGAGACTGCTTACCTGGGTATTTCCTTAACTGGAAAGTCACTTGGAAACTGCATGTTTTGTGCGGAGAGCTCCCAGTTAGGAGAGGTTTAAACCTAATTTTATTTAGTCCCATTAAATAACCACTTGAGCTGTAATAGGTCACAGCCACCTAGTTTTCTAACCCTCTATCATACTAGTTATCTAAACCTTCCCATACCTAAGACTAAAACACCTAGTTACTTGAACCCATCTCTTCCAGCCCTACTAGTACAACACCTAGTTACTTGCCCCCATCTCTTCCAGCCCTTCTAGTAAAACACCTTGTTACGTGACACCATCACCTCCAGTCGTACTAGTAAAACACCTAGTTACTTGACCCCATCTCTTCCAGCCCTACTAGTAAAACACCTTGTTACTTGACCCCATCACCTCCAGTCGTACTAGTAAAACACCTAGTTACTTGACTGACCCACCCCCAGTCGTACTAGTAAAACACCTTGTTACTTGACCCCATCACCTCCAGCCCCACTAGTAAAACACCTAGTTACTTGAACCCATCACCTCCAGCCCTACTAGTAAAACACCTAGTTACTTGCCCCAATCTCTTCCAGCCCTACTAGTAAAACACCTAGTTACTTGACCCCATCACCTTCAGTCGTACTAGTAAAACACCTAGTTACTTGACTGACCCACCCCCAGTCGTACTAGTAAAACACCTTGTTACTTGACCCCATCACCTCCAGCCCTACTAGTAAAACACCTAGTTACTTGCCCCAATCTCTTCCAGCCCTACTAGTAAAACACCTAGTTACTTGACCCCATCACCTTCAGTCGTACTAGTAAAACACCTAGTTACTTGACCTCATCACCTCCAGCCCTACTAGTAAAACATCTAGTTACTTGACCCCATCACCTCCAGCCCCACTAGTAAAACACCTAGTTACTTGACCCCATCACCTCCAGCCCTACTAGTAAAACACCTAGTTACTTGCCCCAATCTCTTCCAGCCCTACTAGTAAAACACCTAGTTACTTGACCCATCACCTTCAGTCGTACTAGTAAAACACCTAGTTACTTGACCCCATCACCTCCAGCCCTACTAGTAAAACACCTAGTTACTTGACCCCATCACCTCCAGCCCTACTAGTAAAACACCTAGTTACTTGACTCCATCACCTCCAGCCCTACTAGTAAAACACCTAGTTACTTGACCCCATCACCTCCAGCCCTACTAGTAAAACACCTAGTTACTTTGCCCCATCACCTCCAGCCCTACTAGTAAAACACCTAGTTACTTGACTGACCCACCCCCAGTCGTACTAGTAAAACACCTAGTTCGTTGACACCCCCTAGTACTAGTGAAACATAGTTACTTGACTGCTCCGGCCACCCCTAGTCGTACTAATAAAACACCTAGTGCACTAGCGTGGTTTTGTGGTGGAAAGATCATGATCATTCTAGTAAACCAACTCACGGGTTATTTACTAAATTGAGATTTGCTGGGAATGAAATGAATTTCTAAATTTAGGTCATGTTTTGCTAAACTTCTACAACAACAAAAATTTAAGTGAACGGTTTTCACTTTGGCTGTTTTGAAATTCCTGGCAGGTACTCACTTTAGTATATAACCCTTCAAGTGTGGTCAGAGCAGATAGATTGTTAGACACATGCTGTGGGGGCTTTGAGTGTCGATATAAATAGTGCTTCATGGTGGAAATCCGTCATGAAACAGCAATGTATGCTTCCCTCCTACAGGATGTGAATAATGCATACTAGCAGACAGACCTTTTCATGCACTGCACAGACCTCTTCATACACTGCCCACCAGCATGTAGAGGCGATGTATGGCTATATATTGTTTGCTTTGGATGTCTCCTGTAGGCCAGTGCTATGATTGGCCTGGGTTAGTCTTAATAAAGTCAGGAACATTTATTAAGCAGAGTGTGGATAAAAAAAAAACTAGGCTGGAAAACCAGGCCTGGTAGATCTTTAGTATAGATTGGCCCAATTTGCTCATGTATTATCTAGATTTATTCATCTGGCTGTTGCCAATATGGACTTTTTACATTTAACAGTCTGCAGGTACAGAATGAACTCCTCTGTTCCTTATGTTAACATGAGACCTATTTGCACATTTTTAGTAAAAATATGATTGGTCAGAGTAGATGCCTTTTCCATCAAAATGAGTTTTAGAGAGTTTGCTTCTGATTTTGTTGCCGCTCAGGTGCCAGTTTTCTGCACACATTTATTTTGCTCCCTGTTAGGGTTGAGCATTCCCTATGAATAATTGGGGGTATTCTACCTATTACAACACTTTCTTAATGAAAATATGGAATACAGTGTTAACCTCTATTTTCTCCCATTTTATATTGAGAAAATGAAAGTTTGATATTTTTTAACTTAGTGCTGCCGTTTTGAGAATTTCGCATTGCACTAGTTTTTAACCCACTATTTTATTTAAATTTTATTGCAAATAAAATTGCTTCATTACTAGTTTAAATTTGTATATCTACCGAGGCCCAGTATTATGATCATTTAAAAAGTAATCGGGTTTTAACTGCATTCACTTAAGTTTGAGGAGTAGTGCTTATTTACAACCTTATGCTAGACATTCATTTGGACTGTGACTTTTACTGACATGACAAATAATGTTCCTTTAAACCGTTTAATGAGAATATCATATTAGTTTTATCTTGCTGAGCTTCCATGTTGGGTCAGACTCTGTTACCTGACCAACTGCTGCTCAGCCTAACTTACTGTTGCTGTGATTGCTGTGTTAACATGCAGCAGCCATGTGTATATATAAACATGTATAGGAATATATTTTTCATTAAATGTAAAACTTTTACAAACGAGAAGTGGAAATTTTGGTGACCGTTGTCCTTTACTTTACAATAATAAGTCAGATACTGGTGAAATTCTTCATATGTAGAAGAAAATGCAAATACTGTTAGCTAATATTGTGGCTCAGTGACCTAAATTCATGTGCCTGCAAAGGAGGTGTGTATAGGAACTTCTTGTGGGAGATAGCCATCCAATGCACACTATCTCTACAATCTATGTAATGGTGGGTCCTTTACATTGTATGTGTTAGATTTTTGCATAGAAAGCCTTTAACCGAATTACCGGTAGCCTCATTAATCAGCATTTAGGTGCTTATCCCTGTGCACTAGTACAGTGGTTTACGTATGACCGTACTGGTATGATTTAGTAATGTGCATTTAGTGTATGTTTGTGGGTTTTACTATAGGAGGAAAACAGGTCAGATTTCTTTTTAAAACCATGGGCGCTGTATTTAATGTCGCCTGCTTCTAGCTGCCAAGAATAGGCTGCATGTTATGGCACGTGACCTTAAAAACTACCTCCTGCATCACGTCAGAATGGTCTTCCCTCAACCCCAAGTCTGAGCACTCCTTGTACATATGCCACAACTTCTGAGAGGGATATGTAGCGAATGGCTGAAAGAATCCCAGGTGAAATGTTATCAACTTTAACCTTTTGAGTGTACTTGTAAGAAGAGTTACCTGGAAAATGCGCTGCCCCCTTATTGACTGTGCATTCAAAGAAGTGACTTGCACTTATTGAACCCCTCGACACCATGTATTGGGGAACTACTTCTCTGTCTGATGTGGGAAGCTGTCTCAGAGCTACAAATGTCACCAACATTAAAGTACCCTGATATTGGTAGGGGGTTTATACTGGGTGCCGTCATGTGCTCTACTGAAAACTGAAGCCAACAAACAAATCCTCAAATCTGCTAACCATGGAAATGCGGAAGAACTCTCCCATTTTAGCTGGTCGCCAGCTATGCTCGATGAACGGTCCAACCAGTTCCATGAAATGTTGAAAACCTACCAGAAATTGGCCAAACAGCCTAGACCCTAGCACCATGGGTAAAGCGACCGGTCTACGGTTATGTGGTGTCCCCTGATGTTTCCAGGCACCCTGCATGTCTTATTAGAATGTAGGAGGGCATAGGAACACAACTGCAGTAATCACAGTTGAGTGTTTTGAATTATCTTCACTGAATTTGAGACCACATTCCAAGCCCACTAATTGGAGTGGGAGCTCCTGAGGCCCTGTGAAAGTGGCGGAGAGTCTCTCCCGAAACTCAGACTCGAGCAAGTTTACCCTGAATTGGCGTCAGCTTCCATATTCTGATGACAAAAATAGAGAATGTGAACCTGGAGCAGCTGAATTAATGCTGTGTGTCTACCTACGTCAGAGCAAAGTGTCTGCAAGCTCCCAATACTGCTGTGCTCTACATGCCAACTGCTAAGGAAAAAAAATAGGAGTTTAGTAAATAAGCAGCATATTTTTCAGATTAGATCATTTAGTTCACACATAGAAGTGCATCTCAGGTTTGCATGACCTTTGTTCTAGGTGGCCAGGTTCCCTGTATTCTGCCCCCAGACTGCATCTTGCCTTGGGAAGTAGAACCTGCCTATGACTTTACATCAACCATCCAGAAAAATTTGGAATGTTTTAAAAAAATTTCAAGGATTTGGCACTAGCCCGAAACGCTAGTACAAGGTTACGTTAATTTTTATACTAAGCCTGTCCTTTTTTTGTTTTATTTTTTACAGTAGATTTCTAATTCATAGTTTAGCACTTGCAGCAGTATAACTGTTATGGCATTGCTGCACAAGTTGGTGTTTCCCAATAAGGAGTGTAGGGGGAGGTATTATACAACATACCATGGGCAGGTGGCAAATATGGGTAGTATACCATGGGCAGGGAGTAAGGAATGGCGATATACAGCATATGTTATAAAAAGAGGTTAAATCCCGTATTTTACAACATACTTAGAGGTTGGGTAGTTTACAGTGTACCCTGTTCTGTGGGGGTAGGGGCGGGTAGTGGACAGACTATCCTCTGAAGGGGAGGTGTCACAGAGAGAATATTGATAAATGCAGTAACTACAACAGAGAGTAGGGCATTACACGTCGGAGTCCAATGCCAGGAATCATAAATTGCTGATCAAACCAGAGAAACTGTGCACTATATCCCACGTTTGGGTTTACAATATGTAAAGGGTGCAGCAAAAGCTCAAAACGCACAGGTTTCAAAACCGCACTTTCTATTGTCTTGAGACGTAAGAGTATTTTCATACTTTGTGAACTCACCAGCTGAAGGTCTGGCTATACCAAAATACAGCACCAACTGCCATTCTTTTGGACAATGCAAAACAAAATATTTTATATACATTCACTTATTACCTTCACCTCATGGGGTCTAGAGCTTATGAGGCTTATAACTTAGTGTATGATTCTAGCAGCCAAGCAAGAGGGAAAAATGAATTGGGGATATGCCAAAATGCATATGTAGTGTGGAGTAGATACGCAGTGTTCCATATAGTATGGATTACTGGTTTTAGTCCGACAACTGCATCATCCTAATGTGCTGACCAAATGTTTATACTCATTTAAATTTTAATATGCATTTCTGAAAATGTCAGCCGGTTACTTTTAAAAAAATAAATAAATAAATCAAGCAAACGCATTGAATATTTCATACATTTTACTTTCACTCCTAATGTGTATACTTTGTTTTCTGGATCTGTCAGATTACACTGCAATTTATTCAATTATACTTACTGATTTTATATATATATTTTTTTTCTGTAGAATTTGTTAAATTAAGAATTTTAACTTTTCTGAGTATGTGTGATAAGCAATTTATACATGAGATTACAATTTTTAAAAAAAAAATTTTTATAGAGGAGTTATTATATCTCTGATTTAGTCAGTATCTATGGAGTTACTATAATTCAGTATTTAATTTTATTCCCCATGTGAACCATGTTGAGAAAATGAAGCTGATGCAATGTATAGCGCAGGTATTGCACAGATCTGCACATTTATTTAAAGTCTGGATTGACGTCTACCCATGGTCTGGACCCAAGATTGGGTGCTCATTTGCTCTCCAGTGGATGGAAGGCTGCCAGTAACATTCCATGGTAGACTGTACTATAGGAATACACACATTTCTTCAAGATTAAATGGGATTTTATGGAGTGCATAGTTCCTATGATTGGGGCACAGTCTTCCCTTTACATCCTTTAAAGGAACACTCAATGCACTATAACTACTACAGCCGCTGTAGCGGTTATGGTGCCAGTCATGCCCCGTGACACTGTATCTGGAAGAGCTGCTGGAATCTCATGGCAATTTGGAGAATGCAAATCAAAAACCCCCAGGAAAGAGTCCAGAATCCTTGCCGATATGGGAGAATGGAGTTGGATAGAAAATGAATCCATTAAATATGTGCATTTTTCAGTGAACACATTATCTTAAACCTCAAAATGAATTGTTTAAATAGTGGTGTACTGAGGTCACTCCTTGTAAACCCCTCTCCATACTATTTTTAAATTAGAATAATTTTACTAAATACAGTGGAGCGCTTAACTGTGATAGTGAAGATGTAGTTCACTCTGTGAGATCGAAAATAATATTTGTACTTAACATTCACTTCTGTGTCTTTTACAATCTGGTATTGTGTATATACCTGTTAAGATACATCTAAATAACAAAAAATAGTGGAGTACCCTTTAAAATATATTGTATCTATATGTAAAAAAATGTAAAATTTGTATCTTGTAATACTTCTTTATTTATTTTTAAAATAATTTATTGGACTAACAGAATTTTTTAATGGCAAGCTTTCGGGAGAACCTCCCTTTTTCAAGTCTAAAGAGAAATGCTTTAGGCTTGAGAAAGGGAGGTTCTCCCGAAAGCTTGTCATTAAAAAGTTATGTTGGTCCAATAAAAAAAGAGATTACGATACGAATGTTATTTTTTTTTACATTTTATTTTTTACATCTGCATCACTGGACTGATACGGCTACAAAAGTATATATATTATTTTTTCTTTTTTTTTAAAACAATAATGGGGCACTCACATGCTCCAGAGATATAACCTAGCTCTGGGAATATATGCCAGTAGGTCCGTGTAGGCGGTCTTCACCTTTCTTCTTGAAGAGTGGTGGTGGTAGATTTCCTTATGTCATGATGGATACGGGTATCTCAGGAAAAGAGATTCAGAAATAGTTTAACATCGCATAGGAGAGATTCCAATATGTAAAAAGTAAAATACCCACAAGCCTCAGTAGAACAGCAAGGTATGGTTAGGCACCATACCACCCTCTTTAGAGATGCAGAAACTGTGATGGTTAAGGAGTAGCAAATCAAAGTATACATTTTAAAAAGTATATACTTTTATTAAGAATTAACAAATAAAATAGTATAAAATATCTAGTGAAGTACCAGAGACGCGTTTTGCTGAAATAGCTTTCTCAATTCGGTGCAATTACATTAATATAGCATGTACACCAGATAAGCGCTCATATAGATTAACTGGTTTTTGTTTTACATTTACACACAGGCTTTGACTCTATGGTCGCCTTCTTCAGATTTCTGTAGTTAATCCCAGGGGTTCACATTGGCATAGGGCGTGCCAAATGTCGTGTGGTTATGGGATCCCATGGATTAGGAGCCTGGGTTGGTTGGAGTTGTAGTTTGCAGCTGTTTGTCAGTGTGCCACATCCAAAGCTATACACACGGCACATATTAGGCTAATGGTTGGCAGATTACGGCCTATCCTCTTTTCTATAAAATTTTAATGTAATTCAAAGTTCTACTCATTCGTAAAGTATTTACCTTCCATGTTGTACATCCATGGGAAAATACTATCAATTAAAAAGCCAATGATTCCTTCAACTGAAATTGTAAAATTAAGCATCTTTTGAACACGCACCTTTATAGTGGAATTTGGTTCCAGACCAGTTCACAAGCCTTGTTTAAGAGCATTGTGCATGCTGCCCATTAGATTGTAACCTATGACCTTATGAAAATTCCATTGTTACACTATTTTTAGATGGAATTTTCTTTCTGAGAATTGGTTAAGGCTAGGGATGGGAATATCAATAGGATCTTGTGCGTTGCGGTTATGGAAATATTCTGCAGGCTTTCAGTAAAAACTCATTTCACTATCCTGCCCAAAGGAAGAGTGCAACAGTAAACCAGTCCTGCTTTTCCTGTAAATTCTGCAACTGTACGTAGCAGGAATATGCTCCACTAACTGCATGCACGGAGAGGAAGCCCAATGTGGATGAAAGAGATTGAGGCCATGGTGTCTATGTAATGGGAAGATTCAACCATTTTCCTGCAATACATTCACCAGAATAGGCAACCTTTGGCGCACTGCGCATGTTTTGGACTACATCTCCCCTAATGGTTTTGCCAGCAAGAAGTAGTCCGCAACATGGGGAGTTCTGAAGGTTGCCTACGCCTGACAGTGTTTTAAAAAGTGTACACATTTAATTACTATCCTTTTACTACAGCAGAATATTCCTCAAGTGTTTGCCCTTCAGTGATTGTAAAAGTTAAAAGAAAATTAACTTATATTTTTGTTTTCACAAGAAAGCCAGATGGGAGATAGGAAAAGTGTTTAAACTCTGGGTGTATTAAATGACCCTTATATAAGCAGAGTAGAGCCTTGGTATAACTATCGGTAGTTATATTACATTTAAAAACATTCAGCACAATTATAAACATGTTCTATACAAATACTGTCTCTTCCCAAAGTGTTAATTAAGAAAATGAAATTAATTTTAACAATGCTTTCATACAAAAATCCTAAACGAAATGGGGCCAATGGCCTCTTTAATGGACGTGCCGTCTTAGTTTTAAATGACTAGAAACAGAAGCAGCACTTTCCTGGAGTCAATGCAAGGAGAAGGCCTGTTGGACCAAAATATGGATTCTGCGTATGCTGTACAAAGCATGAAGACAACCTGTCGCCAGTAATGCAAGTTGCCTATAATTCATGACTGAGATGGCACAGAGTCCATTTTTAAGAACTCCTGATGTAAAAAAGGAAACTAGCTAACCTCCTTATGCCTGACTTCTCTATACTAAGACACAGTGATTAGAGTCTGGGATTTGCTACTGCTATTTTGTCTTTTTGTTTTGCTCTTGAAAGTCCAAATTTATCCTCCCAAATAAAGGATGGCTTTTCCAAACAGAACCCTCTTAAAAACACTAGTCAATGGGCTGATCACTATTTTCCTTAAATTGTGGTTCCCTATACTATTTTTCATATTTGTGTACAAACTATTCAATAAAAATTGAACTGATGGAAGAAAAACATTTAGTTGCATAGTTTTCAGGTCCTCCCCTGCAGTTCCATCGCTTACTCTTCCTGTATTGCATTGTTCATATTTAGAATAATGTTACACCCAGACGTGTGTATTTAATATGCTTTGTAGCAAGGGCTTAGAGAGTCTGTATACAAAACCTTTAACTTCGAATCATCCATTTATGGCACCACCGACTCCAGTAATCCAAAATTACTTCCGACTCGGACTCCACTACTTCGATCCCACATCCCTGCTTTGTACGAGATCTTATTTTGAGGGGCTAGGCTTTATCTTTCCGGATTGCCTGTTTAATTCTATATAGGGACTCTCAAATAGTTAGTGTTTGTTTTAGTTTTTCTTTAAGTATTTGTAAGTGGTTAGGGTTTTTTTTTAATCCTTAATTTAACATATGTAATGAACTTTAAAAAAACTGGTTTACAATTTTATTTACTTTTTAAACAGATAAATGTATTTATTTTTGAAGTTCACCAAAATGACAACTACTAATTCACCTGACCATCATTTTAACTTAATACATATTTATTTTTTATTCCAAGCATTTGATGATTATGTGTAAAGCTAGCATTGAATGAGTTGGTTTAGGATGTACTCACCATTGATAATGTGTAGCTGTGAATAATACAATATCAAATTGTAATCTGTGGAACTTTTCTGGATTTCTATTTTTTATTTTTATATTTTACACCGTACCTTTTGTTAGTACTTGGTACAATGTATTGTGGGTTAAAGATTTTCATGATCTGTTTTTTTTTTAACTCTTTGTAGCTGATAAAGCAGAAGACAATGAGAGGAAACCTGAAGTAGCTGCTACGCATCCAGCTCCTGCTGTTAAAAAAGCTCCCCCATCGCCATCCTCTCTCATGCCAATGAAACCAATCTCTTCACTGCCACGAATACCAATGTTGAAGAAGACCACTTCCTCCACAGCACCAGTAAAGCAGCCAGTAAAACTGCTTCCTGCCATCTCCAAGAACCCATCAACCAGCAAAGTTGTGTCTCATCCACCTTCCTCAGCCATCAAGAAACTTGGACCAATCCCCAAAAAGTCCTCTGTGCCGCTTACGTCTGTTGTGTCTGGTTTAAAGAAACCAGTCTCTTCCACTATAACCACTGAACAGAAGAAACCAGCTGCTGGATCCTCCACGCGCCCACTCTCTTCCTCTGGATCGAGTTCCCAATCCAAGCCAGTGGCCAGTTCCTCTCAGTCTACGCCGAACATACAGATACGGCAGAACATTCGCAGATCTCTGAAAGAAATCCTATGGAAAAGGTGGGGGAAGAATTGTCACAGGGAAATTTAAATTTAGAAAATGTAAATGGAGAGTATATTATATATATATATATATATATATATATATTGCTACCTTTTATGCAGTGGGTAACTAAAACAACGGTGTTAGGGCATCAAGGTTAATAATTTAGATTCAGTGTATTTAACTGAAAAAAAAAGTGAAAGCACACAAAATACATGCAACATTTATTTTGTCAAATCAATATACGGCTGTTGTACATAAACCTAAAATGTGTAACAATAGATTTAAGCGGAGTGCGTTCATTTTCAATGGGAGAGCAGCAAGAAGGCTTAGACCACAATAAATTCTCTGATTTTTCTTTGGGACTAGGAGCAATGAGAGCATGCCTTGTTTAGGAAGTGATCCCCGCCATAGTACTTGGTTTGAGCTATTCTATCAGCCGTTAAGCATTTAATTAATGGAGAAATGTAGATTCAGAGAATGGCTCCATTTTTTCCCTTTTCATAAAACAAGAGCCAGTTACCCATACCATGTTGAATAGTGTTTCTGGGTTAGATCTTTTCAAGTTAGCTCAGCTGGGAACTCTACAGGAAATCAGGGGCATGCAGAAACTCCAGCCATAATGAAAATAGAGAATTTGCCATGAAATATATACTGTGGCTGGAAGTAAATGCATATATAGCACTGCTGCTTATACTAACTCTACCTCGCTTTGCTCCTGGGCCTCTATTAGTGACTATTTCATAAGAAGTGGGCAAATGTGTAACGAATCCTGAGCCATAACCAGGTTGCTCCCATCACTTCTTGTGGTCAAGACAAGCTGTTCTACCCTGGCAAACACTGCAGTAGTGATTACTGGGGCAAAGAAAAAGACAATCTCAACATATTACTGCAATCATTTATATAGCCACAATTTGTAGTATTGTACCTGCATAATTTACTGTATGCTGCAAATATTTTATAACTGGTTCCTTACAAAATGTTTTTTTTTAATTCAGGTTTCGGGTTTGCACGGTATGTTTAATTATAGGTCAGGGTCATGTCTTAATTCCGCCTCCACTTCCCAATAAGAAGTCTGTTTTTAATGCTAACTGAGATCAGTCACATCTTATATTGGTTGAACTTTTCACATCCGTCAAAGATGAAATGCAATATTGGACCCTTTTAGATTAATTGATGACAAATCAAAACATTTGTTTACATTATTATGTATTAATGTATGGTCAGAAAATGATCTGGAGTGTAAATATACATGTTTGTTCTATAGGGTCACTGATAGTGATGATCTGGAGATGGCTGAGAGTGACGTGATAAAGATTGCAATGAACATTGAGAAAGAAATGTTCAATCTGTTTCGAGATACTGACAGCAGGTACAAGAGCAAGTACCGCAACTTAATGTTTAACCTCAAAGATCCTAAAAATCAGGTGAGTGCTTTACCAATAGACTTGCTGAGTAACATTTCACTGTCTACTAAAACAATAATTGTTTACAGCTTTACATTGGTGTATTTCACCAACACAGCCAATAAGCATTGTCTTCCTTGTTTTGATCCAAGCATTTTATTTTCAGGGGCTTTTCCACAGAGTTCTTCGAGAAAAAATATCTCCAGCAAAATTGGTTCGCTTAAAACCAGAGGAGCTTGTATCAAAAAAGTTATCTTCTTGGAAGGACGTGGGACCTAAACCGGTGAGTTATCTTACTGACATAGACCACATTTTCAGTGGAAGAAGACTACGCTGCACATTCCATTGTGCGATTTAGAAACTGTATTAGTCAATAAGTGTATCATTTTCATTGGACAATGTGAACATTACCATTTCAGGTATATTTCAAGTATGTCCTGTCAGTGTAAGAATAAATACCAGGGTTAAATTGTTCATTTCTCAGTGCGGCTCTGACATCCTACTTGTTCTTTTACTCAGAATTCAGCCCTGAAAGTGAAGTCACGGATGGACAAGGTGCTCTCCCCAAGGCAAGCTGTGATAGACATGGAGGAATCTCCACCAATGTCTGATACGGATACGGTAAGCTGTGCTTACACTGTGCCCATCCTGCTGCTCTTTCTGCCATTCCTCATTGTTTCAATAGGAAATACATCATTGGACAGAATGTTTTAGCACACAGTCCAAGGGATGTGATGTGATCAGTCTGTAGAACAATGGCGCACTGTATTGTGTGTGTGATTTAATTCCCCTACAGGAGATGGTGTTTTAACCCTTCATTTTCTTTCATGCATCAGGAGCAACCGGAAACTGTGAAGATTCCTCCACCTGAGAAAAACATTTCGGTTCTGCCTGACATATTCAGCAGTATGTTGAGTGACACCACCAGCCAGCATCGTGCCCATCTCTTCGACCTCAAGTGCAAAATCTGTACAGGTAGCTGTCCACAAAAGCAGTTTTCTTTAATTGATTTCAAGGAATGAATGCCACCAGCTTCTACCATGCCTGTGGTGTTTCTCAGCTCTGTGAGTTGGCATGGGTATATCAATAACATGCATCATGTTCTTTGATATTCCCAGTTAAAGAATGGGAGTCCCGAGACTGCCTAAGTAATGTATTTATTTAGAAAATCATTTACTGGGAAGGATCATGTAATCTCTAAGATGGCTGATAAATCTACTATGGAACATTGCTTTTAGATTTCAGGAATCGTCTTTGTAATGTCCCACTCACCCATTTAATCCTGATTCATTCTGTGTATGATATTCAGGTCAGATGTCAGCTGATGATGAGCCCCCACACAAGCGTCAGAAAACTGCTGCTGCAACATCCAAGAAACCTGAACCAAAGTCTGAGCCAAAGCCAGAGATTCCTGATGAGGCTGTACCACCGCCACCAACAGATGATGAATCGGACACACAGATGGAAACCAGTGACAGCACCACAGCTATTCCCGAGAAAGGCCCAGATAGCACACCCTTACCCAATGCTTCCCCCGGCCATCCTGAGCTGCCCTTTGTTACTCAAGGCCCTCTATACCAACCCATCAGTCATGTCACCACAGTCACGGTATCTGGTAGGGACCCAAGAACTGCAGTCAGTCGTCCAGCTCTTGTCATATCAACTGCCACAGACACTTCCAAAGTGGTGCGCGAGCCTGAGGAACCATCTGCAGCAGCATCCGTCTCTCTTCCTCCAGTCTTCAGTGCGCCCAAGTCTATACTGACGAAACCACAAGTCTCCGACAGCAGATATTTAGCTTCTTCACCAAGCCACAAGTGCGTAGTCCTTGTAGTTATCTATATGTGCTGCTATTTTAACACCGTCAAATCCAGTTGTCATACGAATTTGACCTTTTAAAAAAACTTACTTTATAAGGAATGTCCTTAACTACAGACAGGCCTGGCTTGTCACGAATGAGTAGGGTATTGCTTTTCAAAGTAAATTCTTTAAAGAGCAGATTGTTAGGACCTACACTGGTTAAAAGGGGTTGTTCAGTGTGCGTTAACTTGTTGGTGGGTGTACTGACAGGACACATGATTGTTTATGCACCAAATGTATAATTGCAGCATGTCAGTAGCCCTCAGTGACTGTATGATATAGTGTCATCTTGCACTATTCCTGTCACTGAAGCCTCCGGCATGCCAATGGTGCAATTGTTATTACACAAACGTCTCCTGAGCACTTCTGGTCTTGTAGGAGCACAGAAGGTAAATTTAAATCAAAAAAACAAATTTTCAATAGGTGTAAATCTGTTTGTATCCACCTCCTATATACTGTGATTAGTAGAAATTTTGACTCCTCACAGAATTACCGTTTTTAGATTATGACCCCATTATTAGAAACCGATGATGTAATGTGTTGTATGAAAACATGGCTGCAGTATAGGAATACAGTTTTCATAACAAATATCTATTTCTAAGTTCGATTCTCATTACAAAATTGTAGTCTCTTATCTGATGCAGTACAACACTCTGTAATGGTATACTATAGTCACCAAAACAGCTTATCTTAATGAAGCAGTTTTAGTGTACAGATCAGGCCTTTGAAGTCTCACTGCTCAATTCTCCGCCATTTAGTAGTTAAAGGGACTCTCCAGTGCCAGGAAAACAATCCGTTTTCCTAGCACTGCAGGTCCCCTTCAGTGACTTACCTGAGACCCCCGCCGATGTCCCTTGGCGGTGGTTTCGGGTCGCCGCCGCTCCTCCCCTTTCTCACGTCAGCCGGCGGGGGAGACTGCGCGGCATTCGCATTAGAGCTCTCCATTGAAAAGCATTTTCAATGCATTCCTATGGGGAGTTGAGCGATGCTGGAGGTCCTCACACAGCGTGAGGACGTCCAGCGATGCTCGAGCACAGAAAACCTGTGCTATGAAGCAGGAAGTGCCCTCTAGTGGACAGCCACTAGAGGTGGAGTTAACCCTGCAAGGTAATTATTGCAGTAAAAAAAACTAAATAATGAAAACTGCAATAATTACAGTTGCAGGGTTAAGGGTAGTGGGAGTTGGCACCCAGACCACTCCAATGGGCAGAAGTGGTCTGGGTGCCTGGAGTGTCCATTTAAATCACTTTTGTTTCTGTTCATGCAGCCATAGCCACACCTTCCCTGGCTACGACTGACACAGCCTGCATGGAACTAAATAGTTTAATTTTCAATCAGATGTTAACTGTACACGTTTTTACCTCCTGCTATGTAAATTGAACTTTAGTCACACATAGCCGGGATTAGCAAGCTATTAACAGAAGATAAGCAATTCTACATTAAACAGTCTGTGCAATAAATGAAGTATAAGCTGTAGATCTCTCTTTACAGGAAATGTTTGGAGGATTGTGCAAGTTACATGGCAGTAGGTGTGGCTAGGGCTGTATAAACAAAGTGATTTAACTCCTATATCTCAGAAAATTGAGCAGTGAGTCTCCAGGGACATGATCTATATACCAAACCTGCTACATTGAGGTTTTTTTTTCGTAACTATAGTGTCCCTTTAAGTTCCTTCGAGAGTAGTTAATGCTACTGTCTCTATTAATTACTTTGGAAGCATTCCCTGTTCACAGTATTTTTTATTTGACCTGCTTCTCTGGTTTCATATTTTCAGTATCGCAGATATTCGCACTTCTCATGATGGAGACACATCCCTTTTCCTGTCACGCTTGAGTCCCATCTGGAAAGGATTTATAAACATGCAATCTGTGGCCAAGTTTGTCACAAAAGCATTCCCCGTTTCCGGCTCCATTGAATACCTGAATGAGGTTAGTCAGCGGGGTTTACAGTTCCACAGACTGGGAAAATAAGTCTGTGCTATGTGGTTGTAGACTCAATTACAAATTCTTTAATGCTGCTGATTATCCATATAGTAATATTAAGGATGTTTATAAGCACTAAAACCACTTCATTTACTGAATTCAGACAATGTTAAACTGCATTGTTTACATTTTATATGAAATTTACCTCCTAGTTTCTGTCTGTTTTAGTTTTTTGAGAGGGTACGTGGGGAGGTTAACAATTGTTTTGACCTAGGCAGGCATTGGGTCACTGGAATCTATACGTGGTTATTTTATAAGTGCTTTGCAAATTATTTATCCTCCACATCCTAATTTAGGACCTACCCGATACTATCCATATTGGTGGAAGGATCTCTCCGAAGACAGTCTGGGATTATGTCGGAAAACTTAAATCGTCTGTTTCAAAGGTATTTATGAAGTGCAAAAGCTTCAACGTGCAATACATTTATAGTAAAATCTGATTAACATTGAAAGTAAAATGCAGTACGATAAATGATTCTGCTTTAACGTATTGAGAAGTCCAGCAGAGTTCATGGTAAACTTACTTCAAATAGTTATGCTGCCGTTTTTTTTCTCATTTATCAAAATTACACAAACTTAATTAAAAATGTTAGTTTCATTACATAATCATTTCCTGAAGAATCACACGACTTTGCCAAATTGTATATTGTTTCAACATGTAAACTAGCCAACTGTGTTTTTGCTTTCGAGAATAGCCATGTTTAATTACTTTTTTTGTGGACTTTGCCGCCTCTGCAGGAGCTGTCTCTGATTCGTTTCCACCCAGCCACAGAAGAGGAAGAAGTGGCCTACATTTCACTCTACTCATATTTTAGCAGCCGTGGACGTTTTGGGGTCGTAGCAAATAACAACAGACATGTCAAGGATCTCTATCTCATACCGTTAAGTGCCAAGGATCCCATTCCATCCAAATTGTTGCCCTTTGAGGGACCAGGTAAGCAGCCTTTAGAAGTTAGATGCTAGTGTAAATTAAATGTATCTGTATATACATGTCAATGGTAAGTAAGTGTATAGGGCAGTGTATACAATGCACCAGGTTAACTGGAGAGCAAATTTTTTTTTATAAATTGTTGCTGTAGGTAAATGTTTGGTGTCTGTGTGTATATATGGTGGATCAAAAAAAAACACCGAAACAATGAGGTAGTCATGTTTTGTTTTTTCCCCTCTATTAAAAATAAATAAAAACAAAAAAAAAAAACTGAAATGTGGTCATTTATTTATTCACATCAAAATAATTGGCAGCAATCCATGGTCAATATACGGAGTCAGACCAAAAGCAGTCACCATGAAGATGTTTCCAGCAATGAAGAAAGTCTTCAAAAGAAAACAAAACTGTTAAAACCCAGGATTCCCTCAATTTCTGCAATTAAATGATACATGAAATCTGCACTACAGGGTTGGCAGGAAGTCCATAGTTTAAATAATTGTTTGCTGTGGGGTGTATTCTTTAGTGGCAGAGTCCTACATTTAGAAACAAAGTATTGCATTTTATGCTCCTTAAATTTATCTCTGGCCCAGCTCTTCCCTACAAATCTGTTGGACTTGGCTAACTCTATCCCTCCTTCCCTTGATGCCCTGGGTATGACCATATGAGCTTTCCCCGAGCAACTAAATTCTGGATTGTGGAGATAATGCAAGGTCTTAGTTTCTCAGCAAAATAAAGTACTTCGCAAGTACAACTTCACTTCCATCACCACAAACAAAGTCATTTAGCACGTTTCGCTTGCGCCAAGTGGCCTTCATTTCTGTTTGCTAAGCTAGAAGCTTGGACGGTTTACAAATCAGTTATTTTTGGGTGTGTGGCATCCATTTTAAAATGGCTGGGAGTAAAGAGATATTTTGGTTCTGAGGAGAGCAAATCAGAAACATAGAGAAATGATTTAGATAACTTTTTCGGAACCCATCACATGTTGAATGCACATTTTACAGAACCAATAATTACATAATTAAGAATAGTTAGAGTCCTGTTTCCCAAAGTACATGCATGTTTTGGGAGTATAATAGCTTCAAGCAACAACGCACCTTGTCACTTTTATTTGTTTTATTATCTAAATAAATATTGGCTTTTAAAGACTGCCATTTGGGGTGTTTGTCAGAAACTAGAAAGGTTTTTTTTTTTTACACTAATAATTTCAATTAAACATGAATCCCTAACCCGGAAAAAGTGACAGTTCTAGAGATCTGTGAAGGAAGATTGTTACCATGCCAAATAATTTTTCTGTAAGCTTTCATTAAGCATATACTGCCCAGTGCAGACTATAAAATATTCCTTTTTTTTTCTTTTCATAACTTTGAAGTTTGGGAATTTTGCAACATAAAAAGGTTAAAAGTCTAGACGCAAGAGTTTTTGTATTTTGTTAAGACCTAGGTGACATGTATACATCATGATTTTATTAATGTTTCTCCAAATATGATGTCTTAATATTTAGATACATATAGCCTTTTGAAGTAGAGGTCTTTAACCAAAAACCCTACCTTATTAAAATAAAAAATTAAAATATATAGTTCATTGCTATATTCAAACTATTTCAAGACATTTTAATATGTGCGCGAGTTATTTCTTTTTTTGGTTATCCATAATGTCTGTTCTCTGTAGTCAGGAAATGTGCATATGGGTATTGCTTGGATGTGCGATTAAGATTTTATTGACTATTTATTCTTCTGTTAACTTCTAGGTCTTGAATCTGGGCGTCCAAACCTAATTTTGGGATTGGTTATTTGTCAGCGGACCAAACGACCAGCTGCTAATGAGCCAGAAAAGTTTGAAGACAAGCGAACAAAAGGTCCAACCCAGGAGGAAGCAGACATCTTAAACTTCACAAAAGTGCCTGTGGCTTCTGTAATAGACAAAAAAACTCAGAAATATACTCCATATTCAGCTGAATTAGTGAAAAGTACAACGCCACCTGGCTCACCCCCTCCTCTTCCAGAACCAAAAGCAACAGTTTCTAAGTCAGACATTGTTCCTCCTGTCTCTAATACATCAGTTCGCTCTTCATCACCTGTACGGGAGACTTCGACACCTGCTGTGTCTGCATCATCAGCCTCTTCAAAGACTGCTACCCCATTGGAACATATTCTAAAGACCCTTTTTGGAAAAACAGCAGAGGGGAAGAATGAAAGTGCCAGCGCTCCTAAAGAAGAACCAGTTACTGAGAGAGGATTTGCAGGCATTCCCTTAATAGACCCAATTGTTCAGCAGTTTGGGCAGTTATCTAAAGAAAAGCCTATTGAAGACGAAGATGACAGACCGTATGACCCAGAAGAAGAATATGACCCGGAAAAGGCATTTGGGAGCTCTACAATTGTTAGTAATGATAAACCATATGAGCCAGAACAGCCATGTGAAAATTTGGAAGATGAAGAAGCCTATGATCCTGAAGACGAAACCATATTAGAAGAAGCAAAAGTACCAATTGAAGATTTACCAAATAAAATGTCCTCTACAAGTAACCTAAAATCTGTGGAAGTGTCTTCAGAATATGTATCCTCTATTCCTGACTCTTCCTCCCTCATTGAGCAGCAGAAAATGCTGGATGAATTGAATAAACAAATAGAAGAACAAAAGAAGCAACTGGAAGAGCAGGAGGAAGCTCTGAGACTGCAACGTGCCGCTGTTGGTGTTTCTATGGCACACTTCTCCGTTTCCGATGCACTGATGTCACCTCCACCAAAATCGTCAATACTTAAAAGTGAATTGTTTCAGTTAGAGCCAAATGCAGAGGTATCCACACCACTGAGCAATGATCAATTTATGAATCAAAATCGTGATTCACGACAACTTCGAGATCCTCGACAACAAGCATTGAAAAGGATACGCACAGAGAATGACCCTCCCAACGCACAGTTGCAAACTGAAAAAAATCCCCAAACATTTACTACTGAAAGCAGCGAAGACACTCTTAAGGACTCCATGGTTAATCTGCCTAGCATCAAAGTAGAGAAAGTGAAGCCTAATTTGGAAGTGGGCCAGCAGAGTCCTCAAAAACCAACTGACAAAATTTATGAAAAAAATGTAAATACCTTCATGCCTGAAGACAGCTCTTGGTACAAAAAGCTTGACTCTTCAGAGTCTGTAACATCCATTGAAGCAACAGGCACCTCAAAGTCCATTCGTAAGGTGTTGCTACCAACTCCTGGAACTAGTACGCTGTTACAGCAGAAATTGACACAAGGGGAAGGGGAAAGCGTAGCTCACTCTACTCCACCTGTGGCTCCCTGGCCCAATGAATCTCAAAACTTTGACTCACAAATATCATTGACTGCCCCTACTTCTCAGACTGGTATGCCACAAGAACATGTTTCAGGTGCTTTTGAACCAGAAAAGGCAACATTTCTACCCCAAACAGACCATATCCACAATCAAGCACCTCCCTTTATAGAGCAAATTAAGCCAGTGGTTCAGCAAGAAAACCGACTTGGACCTCCATATTTAATGTGTCCCACAGGAGGCCCAGCTCAAATGCAGTTTAAAAATGAACAGGATATTCCATCAATATTTGGTGAACACAGGCCAATTCAAATGCCCAACCTTCCAGGAACAAGACCACCTACTCGATTCTCTGACGAGAATGTTCCATCCAATTTAGAAATGCAAAGAGGTCCAATACCTGAACGTGTAGTGGATCAAAAGGGGCCTATGCCTTTACTGTCTACACAGTTTGGACCTCCCCCTTCTATTAATCATCCATTTGGAGATAGAACTCAACCTCCTCAATTTGTTGGTCAAAGAGGACAATCACCACCTATATTTGACCCACAAAGTGGTCCTCCTTCAGAATTTCATGATTCGCATTTTAGTGGTGTGAATGATGGTTCTCCCAGGTTTGATGGGCAAAGGGGTCAGGTGCCACCTCAATTTATGGGAAATAGAGGACAGCAGTTTAATTTTGAGGGCCCAAGAAGAGCACCACCATCTCAATTTAAAATGCATAGAGGTGTTCCAGTACAACCTCAATATGGAGGTCCTCATGGCCCCCCGCCAAACCAATTTGGAGGTCCTCGTGGACCTTTTCCAAATGAATTTGAAGTCCTAAGAGGCCCAGCTGCAGGCCCCTATCCTGGACCAAGGGGCCCCCAGCCACACAAGTTTGAGGAGCAAAGAGAAAGTCCACCACCGATGTTTACCAACCAACGAGCGCCAGCACCACATCCATTTGGAGGACAACGTGGAAATGTACCACCTAGATTTCCTGAACCGCAAACACAAATACTGAAACCCCAGCATAGACCTCTGCTTGAACTTCCAAGTATCCCTCCACTGCAAGCATGGAACAAAGGAGGAAAACCAGACATGCTTCACAACTACGCAGAGCAGAGGCAAGGTCAGGAACAACACTGGGAAGCAAATGAATTTAGACAAAATAAGGACCATAGAAACCAGGGATTTGAAGGAAGACCTAGAGAGCGATATGAAGGTCGTAGTGATCCTGAAGTGCACATGTCTGAACAAGTACCAGTCAGAGGATATGAGGAAAGGCGTGGGGAAAGAGAATCAGATGGCCATTGGGATAGAGATGGTGGTAGAAACTGGAACAGAGAAAGGGACAGGAACTGGGATAGAAACAAAGATTGGGAGCGACCAAGGACAAAAGAACCAAACCGTGAATGGGATAAAAGTAGGGATGGAGACAGAGAATCGGAGAGGAACCGGGACCGTGACAGAGATAAAGAAAGGGATAGAGACCGTGACAGAGATAAAGACAGAGACCGAGAAAGGGAGAAGGAGCGTGACAGAGAACGGGAACGAGACAAAGAAAGAGATAGGGATAGGGAGAGAGAAAGGGAGAGGGAATATAGAGAGCGGGATCGAGATAGGGAGAGAGACCGAGAGCGGGACAGAGATAGAGGGAGAGACAGGGAAAGGGACAGAGACAAAGATCGGGCTCGAGACAGGGAAAGGGATGCTTATAGGCGCCGTGACAGAGAAAGGTCTAGAAGCCGGGACAGGGACAGAACAAGGGAAAGAGACAGAGATAGAGGAAAAGATCGGTCGAACAGAAGTAAAAGCACAGAGACAAACAAAGACTCTAAATCTGATCGTTTAAAGGACTCTTACAGAAGCCTCCCAACAGAAGCTGCATCTAGTCAAACATAATGGCTGCCTGAACATAGGCAGATAACATTCAAAGGAACTGTACTTTACTGTATATATTTAATTGTATATTTGTATAGAGATGTAATGTCATTTTATTTTCCAAAAAGATTTCTTGTAAGTCAATTTTTCCTTTCAGCTGTTTATAAACAGCCTTGGACTATTTCATTTGTTGTAAAAAAAAAGAAAAAGAAAAAACCTCCTCCGATTTTCTACCAAAGTACTTTAAACCCATTTAAAATCAAGCTCACTTCCACTGCTGGATTTGGTTACGGCTGGATTTGTTATATACAGATGGATGTAATGCCAGTGAAGAGCATATTGCTTTTTAAAGAGACTGTGTAGTTATGTTTTTCTATAACTTGTAAACCTATTTTTTTTTTAAACCAATTTGCAGCTCAGTCTAGAAGAACCTTGCACTGAAAGTAATTGGTTTTCCTATAGATTGTGAAGTGCATACTTTATAAATTTGTGAGTTTATTGTATATAATAGTCAAAAGATTACTGTATTTATCTTCCTTGAAGGAAACCTTTGTAAAAATGGTTTCACAATACACCTCTCAAACCATAGAGTTTGTAATGTTAATGTTGGTATTTAATACGGCAAAGCTCCGTAATGGACTGGTGCAGGACTCTGACCATTACTGTTAAGATTGGTCAAACTGGTTGTTTATTCTGCATGCAGTTTCCAATTGGAACAAATAGGTGACAAAGCAAAGCTTAAATATTGACACATTTATAAAGGGCATACACACATAACTTGGTGGTAAATTTTTAAAAACAGACTATATCAGTATGCACACTGTTAAAGTAGTAGGAGCGCACCAGTATTTGTCCAAAAGTTCATTAACTTTCCCAAATCATTTTATTTTTTTCTGACGTGGAAAATGGCTGTCTCCACAGTGGTGTGTGTGTGTGTGCATGTATATATGTCACCACTAGCCATTAGCAAGTAGAAATTAGTGTGCCACATACACTCCAGGCTTGTAGTGGCATAGGATTTAACATTTTGAGCCCTGTACGTATGCATATTTGTGTCTATATTTAAAAACAAAAAAAACTAAAATTACCATATTTTTGGAAAACAGTCTAAATATCCAAATAAATATTTTCACGAGCGCGCTGATAGAGGAACTGAAATTTATAATCTTGTGGAGTACTTCAAATCTAAGTGGTGACAAATTACTTTATTTAAATTTTTAAAGCCAAAAAAAAAAAAACAGTATGTTCCCCTTAAGCTAAACGAAGTGTCCAAGTCTGGGCTGTATCCTACTAATATGACCTACAAGTCCCTTTGTAGTAAGATTTCTTCCAGCGATTCAATGTGGTGTGTAAAAAGGTTCCCTCGGATTAAATCCTCACTATAATGCTTGCCTGTGTAAAGATCAAGTCACGGTTTAAGGAATTCCCTGAGTATGTTGTCATATCCATTTTATATTCCAAACACTGTACATTGAAATTGTAATATGTTTTTCTTTTTGTAAGAAGAATAAATAGCTACATCTGTTAAAATATCACCTTGAATTCATTCAATATGTCATGGGATTTCTTCCAATTCTGGGGGAAAAAAAGTCCTATCGGATTTATTTGAACTATTTTACCCTTTCATTTTTTAATCACGTCTCTGCAGAGCTCAGTTTTTAAAATTAATATACATTCATTTTAAACAACACACAGCGAGAGCTTTTGTTTAGTTTTTTGCATAAATTGCCAAAATATGTAAATATACAAGTTTTCTTGCTTAATATACATGCCCCTCAGGGGGTATAAAACAAACTGAAAATAACTTGCAGGCCATAAAATATAAATTTAAATTGTCCAATCCCCTGCTCTTTAGTATTGGGAAGCAATCTGCTGGCATTTTGGCGATTGCAAATTCCCAAACTATCTGTAACATGTAATTCTAAGTGTATGAATAACCTCATGCAGTAGATACAATTGCTTGGAAGTATTACACAGCAGCCTGTCCATTTGCCATAATGTCATTGTACTCTCTGGTTGCCATCATGTTGCCCTGTATACATTGAGCCTTGCATACACTACAGTGTGGAAGGAGGTAAAGAGTTTAAGTTCTTAATTAGAGCAAAATCAATGGAAAATTAAGCCTGCCTTTTGTGTATGAGAGGTTGGAAATGAAAGGTTTATACAAATCATGATGCCTTCTGGGGTAGATTAGTAAACATTAAATATCTCTTTACAGGAAGTGTTTAGGAATGCTGTGTAAGTCACATGGATGGAGGTGACACGGGCTGTATAAACAAATTGATTTGAACACTAAACCGCAGAGATTTCAGCAGTGAGGCTGCAGGGGCATTGTGACGGAGCTCCTGTACTCCAGCCGAGTACCTCTGCCCAATCTGCTTTCTTGGACCCTGGAACGCTTCTGCCCCAATCGCCAAAGCTTGACTGGGGTCTCACAGTAGCTCTTCCAACCAATCAGGCTGCAGCTCTCCTTTTAGGCAGACATTGTCCCCTCTGCCTATTCCACTGCAGCCCTTCTTCCAGGCAGGAATAGTCTCTTCTGCCTATTACTCTGCAACTCTCTCCTTCCAGACAGGTTTTCGGAACACTGCCTAAATGTGATTATAGCTATTGCCTTTACAAAGGCAATTGTGGCGCTCAGTCCTAGCTTTTTTTTATTATTATTTATTCCAGGGCTAGAGGGATCATGCAGCCAGCAAATAGGTCCAAAGGCTCTCTCACTGGGATAATTAAAAATCTATACATGACATCCAATTCTAAATGGAACTAACATGCAATACTTTTTTTTTTTTAACTCTGGACTAACCCATATGATCATTACACTTAGATTGCTGTGACAAACGTAATCAAATAGAAATAACCAAAAATGTCAGCAAGCATACAGGGAATTATAACAACATTTTTATAAAGGGGTGGGGAAGACGATATTTAACACCAAATATCTCTCCTGCCTGCAGAATTAGCAATATGCAAATATATCTGAATATGCAAATATCAACTAGCATATGGTAGAGCTATAACCAGTTCTAAGGAAAACAGCATGCAGTGGTATGCAATCCCCACTTGCAGGATATCCCTCTGGTTTTGGTACACAGTAGAATGATGGTAAATCACAACTAGATAACAATGAGGTAGATCATATGGAATGACAAAAAAGCAGCCATTAGTACTCTCTATACAGATTGGTAAGCAGGGCCGCCATCAGGGGGTGACAAAGGGCCCGGCGGCCCTGTGGGGTCTAGACTGCTCTGGCAGTCCTAGGCCCCACTTTCTTTCTCTGCACATATAGATAGCGAATATCGCTGTCTATGTGTGCAGCCGTGGGCCCCCGGCTCCCTGTTACCACAGAGGGGCCCAGGCAGCACACTGCTTCTCTTCTAATAACTCTCGCGAGACCCGCGGAGCGTTGCCATGGTAACCGGGTCTCGCGAGAGTTATTAGAAGAGAGGAGAAGCTGTGTGCTGCCTGGGCTCCCTCTGCGGTAACAGGGAGCCGGAGGGCCCACCACAGATGGAATCTCCCCCCTCCCTGGACACGGGTAAGCAGGGAGGGGGGAGAAACATTTAATTTAATAAAAAACTTATGTGAAAATGCCCCTTCCTTCCCAGATCACACATTTACACACACACACACTGCATACATAAAGGGTATATGTTAACATAGTCGAGAGTACAGCGCTAGTTTGTTGTAAAGATTAAAATCTGCTTAAAACATGAACCCTAGCCTCTGTGAGTGACTAGTTAGAGAGATGGGAAGGATAGGAGACATGGAGGATATCAACCGGGTCTCTGTGGTACTATCAGCAGGAAGAGCAGTGCACAGGGTGCATATATAAAATGAAATAAAGCAAAATAAGCAAGTCTATGTGCTTTGGAGGAGAGTCAGCTTTTAAGGAACCCAGTCACAGTAATTGTGTGGAGATGCAGGATCCGTCCCCATGACTCATAGGACCCTGGGATCAGCAGATGCCGGATCTACCAAGCCGCTGGAACTGGATACACCAGATCGTTGAGGTTGGGGTCAGGACAAAGTCTAGCAAGGCAGGTTCGATGACTTCATGTTGGGTTTCTGCAGGCTGCAGCCACTTGCTGTGATGTAGAATTATTAAAATCTTTACTGAACTTGTATTGAATAATTGTACTAACTCCATTTTTAATCTCACACTGTGACAGAACTCTCCATTTTGTTCACCTTACATGACAGTATTCAATATAATGAATAAGAGATTGTATTTTCTCTCTCTAAGGACATAACTAGCCCCGGAGTTAGCGGATCTCCGTTGACTTGCAACATAGTATAATCCAAGGCCAGGAGAACAGCGACTAAATGAAATGTTCTATTCATAAAAGAACCTTGGACCAGACCACGAGACTGACATCACCAACTACGTAAAATGATGCCCAAGCCCCCCCTTTCCACCGAGTAAGCCTCGTGCTAAAGAGCAATGACATCCCATGATGGGAGGGTGCCTCACTAGTCACTCAAATCTCTGAGCCAATTAATAATATTAATGGGTGGACACTGACATAGCCACTTAACATTTAACCCAATTAATAGTGTCTATTTGCTGTTATCTTGAATTCTTCAGTGATGTAATAATGCCTTTAAAAGGGTCTGCGCACCCATTTTCTGTCAGAAGCCATTAAACTTCTCCGAAGTTTTTTCATTAACCTGAACTCTGTGTCTCAGTGTGAATTTACTTCTGCGTGCACGCAACTTTATTATCTTTAATTTGGACAGGAACAGATAGTCATTCAAACTAATTGGTTTGCAGTAAATTATCTACTACAAATTGGCGCCCAACGTGGGGCTCTGGGCTATGTCCTGCCTGGGCAGCTGTCCAAGAAGACGCTGGGGGGGCTGAATCCTGGGGGAAGGAAAAGAGCCTGATCACCTCTGAGTACACGGTAGAGATTGCTGCAGCACCTAGCCGGTATGCTCCTGCCCCTGTGATTGACCTATCCCAGTGTCTGTGACTGCTGCCGAGAGGACATCAAAGTCAGGTAATAACTTGCCCAGAGTCTTTGTATTGTTAATGATACTTAATTTACCTGCATTTAGTCTATCTGTTGCCTGGGTGTGCTAGTGGTATATGTTTTGTTCTTTCCCTCTTTTGGGATAAAGGGGGGTGGACCCGTGGGTGGTTGCCTGGGGGTCTTCTGTTGCCTGTTTTTACCCCTTTTTAGGAGTCACTTGGCCCAGACTGTTGGGAAAAAGGGGGGGTGGACCTGTGGGGATTTTCCAAAGGGGTCCTGTTTTCCTGTTTACTTCTTTTAGGTACTGTCTAGCTAACAGTAGTAAGGAAAAAGAAGGGTTGGGGGATTCTGTGGAGGGGACTTGCCTCCTGGGGTTTCCCGGTTACGTCACTTTGATATTCTAGCTAGCCTCATTGTGTACGTTGCTCTGCTTGCAGAGGTTATGGTACCCTCCAGCTTCGAGCGCTGAGGCTGGTGGCATTCCAATTTATTTGTGGTGTGTGGATTCGGGCAGGCATTGTTGTCTCCATCACCACGGGGTAGTGTGACTTGTGGGTGGGTCCATAGGGAGCACTACGGGAGTGAGGATAGAGGTGGCCACACTTAGTGGACTGCTGTAACGAGGGAGGCATATGGATTTCGGGCCGGTGTTAGTCGTTATCCTTGGCCGCTGGTAGTGAAACTTACGAAAGTTGTTCTCCGAGCGGGGACACTACGAGATTGAGGGAGGTGGCCTTGGTGGCCACAAGAGTAAAGGAAAGGGATTACTGTTGATGCATGCACTGTATTTCAATTGAAATGTTGTATTAAATGTTGTTTTAAGTGTGGAGTCATTCAAACTCCTGGGTCTGTCTCTACTTTCACTGTTTACTTTTCCTCTACTTCCTGTACTATTTACACTATCCACTCCTATTTCTCTTGTAAGGGAAGTGATTGGTCACACACTTCTCACCCCGCTCCAATCCGTGGCTACCACCGAGGGTACACGGATTCAGTGACTGGTCTACGTTTTGGGAAGACGCACTGGGAGGGACCCCCACCCTTCCTAGTGGCAGTCGAGCATTGTAGACGTTCTGTTTCATTTTCCTTTACCTATACTTGGGACGCTCTGTATAGGGGGATATGGGACAGGAAGTGAGTAAGCCCAGTAGGGGCTGGCTCGCGTGTGATTTAGTTGAAGATAGAGAAGGTGAAGAGATGATTAAAAATGTTGCAAAGATTGCTAAAGTGTGTAAAATTGCTGTGCCTTCATGTGGTAGATTACAGCCAGAAAGCTGGCGTAGATTACTGACAGAAAAGAAAGGCAAGCTTACAGATAATGATTTATTACGTACTGCTGAAGCATGGTACAGAGTAGCAAAGGCTATCCAGCAGGAGGGTTGGGTAGAGGAAGAGATAAATCATAAAGGTGTAAGACTGTATGTGTATCATAAGAATTGTGTTACTGGGGCATCCTCTCAGCCAACACCCCAAGATGGTGCCCAGGGGATGTCTATTCCCAAGGTTCGGTCAGCAAAAGGCGACAGCCAGCTGACCATGTTCTCCACTCCCGAACCTCCCGTCACCCATCCCGTCACCTCCCCTGTCTGCCCAGTCCTGAATTCTGACGGATCCTTTTTCTCCCCTCCATCATCCCTAACACT